TTAATTCATCATATGATTATTGTTCAAATTATAATTTCTTCTACCAAACTCCTTCAATATCTTTTAATGTACCTTATAATTATTAGATTTAAGATTATAAAGATATAATTTATTCTTGTTTACCTGCTATTTTAAGTTTATATTCTTCAACTTAAATAGAACAATCATTTTTTAATACAGATATATTTTTTTCTAATTCTTATTGAGATTCTTTCTTAATTTATATTACTTAATTTTCTGCTTCAATTCTTATTTGTTCTTCTTAAAACTTTCTTCTTTCTATTTCAGCTCTTAATTAAGCAATTATCTATTAGGATTCTTATTATTTTATTTAATGAGTATTTCTATTCTTATTTAGTATAATTACCTTAACTCATCTAATTTTGATTAAAGAGAATTATTAAATTAAGTCTCACTTTCTATTTATTATACATATTATGCAATTTTATCCTCATATTATTTCTTAACCTTAATCAATTCATTTGATGTTTCATCTTATTTTTTTAATGCTTCATCTTATGCTTTAATTAATTGATCTCTCATTTTAGATAAATTCTCTTTGTGTTTATTCTCTATATTTTCAATATGCTATTTTAATAAATTAATTGTGTTTTCCTACTCTTAAAACTTTATTCTAAATTTTAACTCTACTGATTTAAGTTAGTTCTTATTTAAAATTTCTTCATTATTTGTAAAACTAGTATTCTCCTCATTTTTTCTTATTCTAGATCTTAAGATTGAACTTAAATGAGGTGTTATATCCTATTATTTCTCTGGAGTTATAGAATGTGTTCTCTCCTCATTAGATACCATTTAATCATAAGGTATAATCTATTTTTGATGGTCTTGATCTGGATGTAAAGTAGAATCACAATGATAACATAATTTAGTAGGCTCATTTTCATTACAATCAAAGCATTTTATAGTTGCAGGCTTAATTTTACAATTGAAACATCTAACGAATTTCCTTTAATTTTGATTCATATTTTATAATATAAAAATTCAAAATATTGAATAATCAACTCTTATTTAATTTATATCATCCTCTTCATATTCTTCTTATTTAATTAAATGCTACTCTAAATATATAAATAGGTCTTGTTTAACAAATTCAATATCAATTAGAATATGTTAATTTCTAAAATCAAGTTAATCTTTAAAAGTTTTCAAATCATTCTCCTATAAATTTGTTTCTTTTCTTCTATATTTTGATTATTTTATTTAATAATCAAGTTAATTCTCAAGGTCTTGCTAATGATATCCAAAAAACCATATCCTTGATTTCTAATTTCCTTTTGGAATATCATTTTACATAAAATCCTTTAAGGATTTCTTATTTATTTTAATTTCTATTTTCATTTACCCATTTATTCTACCTGTTCTTTTAGAATAAGACTAATTTTTACTTTATTATTTCTTTTAGCTATTATAAATAAGTTTGGATAATCTTATTTGGCTAAGGTTATATAAATCTATTTGACAATGATGATGAAAGTTCAATTAATATTTCATATAGTCTTAATTATATACATATTATTATTTAGTAAATTGATAAATTATATATATATATATTGATGTAGACCTGAAAATAGAAATCCAAAAATTATTTTGTACTTAATTGAATTATAAATTTCCTTAAATTAAAATCAAAATTATTGGAAATATGATTAAATAAGTTGGATTATAAATGATTTATACCTCCTTTTATCATTTCTAAAATTTTAATTTAGAAACTAATTAACAGATCCAAATATATCTAAGTTTCAGTTTCAATTAATCGAGTCTACTTGGCATCTCTCTTTTGTTTTATGATGAAAAATTAGAAAAGAATAATAGATTTTATGATGGTTTTTTAAAAGAAATTGCATTTCTATAATTATGGTCTTAAAAATTTTAGAAATATATAAATTAGAAATGATAGTATATATATATAATATGATACTTATTTGAGGTGGATTTTAAATATTCATTAACTTTGATTTAGTTAAATTAAATAAATACACAAAATACGATCTTTTTATCTTCATAACATTTTTAAATAATTATATTAAAAACACAAAAATAACATTCAATGTATATACTTATTAACAGCAATTTTTAATTTAACAGATTAATAAAAGTTATATTCAAAAAGGATAATGGAGGAAAGAGGATTAAGATCAAATGAAAAAGTAACTAAATAACAAGATTATTAAACCAGGAAAATGATATCACCTCAAACTGATATAAATTTGAAGAAAGAAAATTCAAATCCTTTAGATTAAAATAATAGCACTTATTCACTTAAGGGTTATGAAAAATAAGCTCCATATTCATCAAATTAGTTTGAATAGAATCGTCAAATAGGAGAGCAATAAAAAATGCCATCCAACAATAACCCATATCTAAAACAATCATTATATAATAATCCTGAACAAGGAAAACCATTTATTCGCTCATATTAAGAAGCAGATCAAAGAAAGCCTTTAGATTAAGTCAATTATAAATAAGATTTACGATAAGCTAATGAACGAGAGATTATTAGTCCTTATGTCAATCTTGAAAATCAAAAAAGAGATCCTATTGGAACTAGAACTCCTCTCGATCCAAGAACAAATATGAATGCTTACACTCCACAATCAAGATAAGATTTATATCGAAGAGATGTTTAATAATCGGATTATAAACGAGAATTTCAATTACCTGAATATAAAAGAATGTATCCAGGTTAAGATTCTAGAATTCCACCTAGACAGATTAATTCTTTTGATATGCAATAGAAGCCAGTTGATCATCAAGGAGATAGGGTGAGATATGATTAAGAAAGGATAAGGACATTAGGAGGATAATAAGAATAACCTGAAAGAATGGACAGAATGTTAAGAGCATCTGATTATGTGAGAAAATCTGATAATTAAGATTTATAGGAATAAGTTAAAAGACCTTTAGAAAGAAGAGAAATTATTTAAAGAGGTGGAGTAGAAATGGGTTTGCATGATTAAAGAAATAATACTTCAAAATCCTAAGAATATTCTTAAAGATCATAAAATTAACTTAGAAAATATTAAGAAGGGTCCAAAACTCCAATTGAAGGAAGAATGATTGAAAGAAGAGGGTTCGATGATTAAATGTAATTAGAAGGAAGATATTATTAATAATAATATCCTTAAAATCCTTATGTTGAAGGTGGAAAATAATAATAATTTTATGATGTAAAACCTCCCTTAGATGAACAAAGAAGAATGGTAAATCCTTATGATGAAAGGAGAAATGTAAATCCATATGAAACTAGACCCTAAATCTAGGATTAGAGGCCACCATTTGAAAGAAGACCAGATCGTGTAGAATTCGAAAGAAGACCAGATCGCCCTGAATTTGAAAGAAGACCAGAAGGCCCTGAATTCATGAGAAGACCTGATCGCCCTGAATTTGAAAGACGACCAGACGGCCCTGAATTCTAAAGAAGACCAGACGGCCCTGAATTCTAAAGACGACCTGATCGCCCTGAATTTGAAAGACGACCAGAAGGACCTGAATTCTAAAGAAGACCAGAAGGACCTGAATTCTAAAAACGACCTGATCGCCCTGATTTTGAAAGAAGACCTGAACACCCTGATTTTGAAAGAAGACCTGATCGCCCTGAATTTGAAGGCAGATCTCCTTATTAAGCAAGATTTGGGGCAGAGGGAAGATTGGATGTTGATTAAAGATTACCTCCAGATTTTAGATATCGATAATAAGGATATAATAATGAAAGATTTCAATAATAAGGAATCAGGTAAGGAGTAGAAGGAATATAGGCATAAAGAATGCAATTTGAAGAAAGACCTGCTTATGGTCCAGATGGTTTATAAGATGGAAGATAGGGAATGAATTATAGAAAATATTCAGATGGTAGATCTATTTTAGATGGACGAGGAGAAAATAGAGATGTTTTAGAAGGAAGACCTGGATTAATGGAAGGAAAATAATATCAAATTGATGGCAGAGCAGGATTTAACAGAACATATGGAGAGGATCGATATTAAGGATCAACAATTTTTGAAGGAAGACCTGGATTAGAAGGTCGTAGAGAATAATTTTGTACAAGACCTCCAATATAGGGTCGACCTATTGAGGAAAGAGGAAACATTGAATAAAGGATTCCTATAGAGAGTAGAAATTAGTATTAAAGAGGATATGATGATAAATTTGGTGATAAGTATTTTGAATAAAAGTATTCATAATAATAAGAGACCATTGGTAGAAAAGATTTAGGTAGGCCTGATAATGGAAAAATGAGGGAGGAATTTGATAGAAGAATTACTTATGGTAGATCAGATATGGAGGATAAAATGTCAGAATTTGGAAAGAGAAAAGAATTTGATGGTAGAGTTAGACCAGAAACTAGTTTTGGAAGGCCAGGTGGTATAGGTTAATAATAGGCAGGAGAAAAGTATTATAGAAGGGAATATAATGATTAAGGATAGAGATTTAGTTATCATGAAGACACTTCAGTAATTGATAGATTGGGATTAGAGAGAGGAACTAATAGAAATATTATTGGTAATCAAGCTGCAGAAAATATGGTGAGAGGAGGACAACCAATCAACAGACAATATGATAGAGATAGAAGTTTCAATAGATTAGGGATGGGAGATAGAGTGGCTAGTTTTACAAATAGTAAAATGGGTTATTAACGTACTGCTGTTTAAGATAAGGAGGAATATTAAGGTTATATTAGATCCAAACTTATGCCTAAGTCATTAGGAAATGGTTCAACAGAATTTTAGAGGAAGCAATCTCAAGATTAAGGATTCTAAAAATGTACTTATATTACATTCATAATTTAGTGCAAAGTCCTAAAGGTTAAGTTGAAACTAGAGTTGGAATATATGATATTTAGAGAAGAGATGGAAGGATTTGATAGTTAAATACTTTTTTTTATAAACAAATTTTATCATTAATCATTTAATACANTGATCGCCCTGAATTTGAAGGCAGATCTCCTTATTAAGCAAGATTTGGGGCAGAGGGAAGATTGGATGTTGATTAAAGATTACCTCCAGATTTTAGATATCGATAATAAGGATATAATAATGAAAGATTTCAATAATAAGGAATCAGGTAAGGAGTAGAAGGAATATAGGCATAAAGAATGCAATTTGAAGAAAGACCTGCTTATGGTCCAGATGGTTTATAAGATGGAAGATAGGGAATGAATTATAGAAAATATTCAGATGGTAGATCTATTTTAGATGGACGAGGAGAAAATAGAGATGTTTTAGAAGGAAGACCTGGATTAATGGAAGGAAAATAATATCAAATTGATGGCAGAGCAGGATTTAACAGAACATATGGAGAGGATCGATATTAAGGATCAACAATTTTTGAAGGAAGACCTGGATTAGAAGGTCGTAGAGAATAATTTTGTACAAGACCTCCAATATAGGGTCGACCTATTGAGGAAAGAGGAAACATTGAATAAAGGATTCCTATAGAGAGTAGAAATTAGTATTAAAGAGGATATGATGATAAATTTGGTGATAAGTATTTTGAATAAAAGTATTCATAATAATAAGAGACCATTGGTAGAAAAGATTTAGGTAGGCCTGATAATGGAAAAATGAGGGAGGAATTTGATAGAAGAATTACTTATGGTAGATCAGATATGGAGGATAAAATGTCAGAATTTGGAAAGAGAAAAGAATTTGATGGTAGAGTTAGACCAGAAACTAGTTTTGGAAGGCCAGGTGGTATAGGTTAATAATAGGCAGGAGAAAAGTATTATAGAAGGGAATATAATGATTAAGGATAGAGATTTAGTTATCATGAAGACACTTCAGTAATTGATAGATTGGGATTAGAGAGAGGAACTAATAGAAATATTATTGGTAATCAAGCTGCAGAAAATATGGTGAGAGGAGGACAACCAATCAACAGACAATATGATAGAGATAGAAGTTTCAATAGATTAGGGATGGGAGATAGAGTGGCTAGTTTTACAAATAGTAAAATGGGTTATTAACGTACTGCTGTTTAAGATAAGGAGGAATATTAAGGTTATATTAGATCCAAACTTATGCCTAAGTCATTAGGAAATGGTTCAACAGAATTTTAGAGGAAGCAATCTCAAGATTAAGGATTCTAAAAATGTACTTATATTACATTCATAATTTAGTGCAAAGTCCTAAAGGTTAAGTTGAAACTAGAGTTGGAATATATGATATTTAGAGAAGAGATGGAAGGATTTGATAGTTAAATACTTTTTTTTATAAACAAATTTTATCATTAATCATTTAATACATGATATTCTGATCTGAATTATTTCTTATAATAATTTGTATCTGGACATACTAAAAGTATTTCAATGAATTCTTTCACTGTTACTTTGTAACCCTGCATGATAGAGAGCATCTTTGCTTTAATGTTTAGTTTTGCGTAATTTCCATCATCTAATTCAATATAGCATTCAATTTTGTTAAGATTATATTATTGATCTTAATCCCAAGGCAAAGGAGTTTGAAATAATGGAGCTAAGATTTAATATAGTTTTGTTTGTTCTGAGCAATATTAGATGAAATCTCTTTATCTAAATTCAGGGTAAGTGACTAGCATTGGAACAGTTAATATGGGAGGATTTGCTTATTCTAATGATATTTTTTATGGCTAAGATTATTTTATTGATATACTTGATATTCAGGAGGTAATGAAATTTTAGATGGACCCATTCTTATTCCTTTTTGATTGCATATAGCATATAATTATTATAGTTTTTTTTCTTCTTCATTTTTTTTTTCTTGCTTTTCAATTTATTAAAGAATTAATTTTTTGAGTTCTTCAATTTCTTTTTCTTTAGATATTTCAAGTGCAAGATTGCAAAACTTTAGAGCTTCAGTAAAATGCAATATTTGATAAAGTGATTATGCACATCTAAAATAAGGTTTGATAAATTTGGGATCATTTTCTATTGCCCATTTACAATCTTAAATTGCACATTTATAGTTTTCTAGTTATATAATATTAATAGAATACTTTATTTATAAGAAATTAAAGCTCTATTGCTAAAAAGTTTAGCCATTAATTCTTTTTCTCCACAATCTTATTCAATTGCATCAGTATAAATTTCATATGCTTTTTTTTGGAAATATTTCTTATCTCCATCTTTTTTCATGATTTCATTTGCATTTTTGAGTAAAGCAGTTGCTATATTAACAGGAGTATCATCATATTAGAGATTTTACAATGCTAGCAATTCAGGATAATTTTCAATATCTTCTGGTATGTGATCTATAAAGAGAGGATGATTTTTGAGATAAGTGAAGGCTTCTTCAGTTTCTTCTGCTGTCATTCTTTGTTTTGGTACATAATCATCTGGAATTCCATCCAGAAAATCAAATAATCCCATGGCTTACATAGATTAAAAAAATAAATAATTTAATGAAATAACATTATAGATCACACACAAAGCAAATTTAAGGTAGTTATAACATCAGTTATATGATAGGAGTTTCTTTAGACACCATAGTCTACAAGAACAGTCTTCATTTTCATCATATAGGTTTAATAACAAATGTATTTTAATTTGTTTAATTTGATCTAATGTGTATGAAGAATTTAAAATGTTCATTGTTGTATCAAAAGTTTCAAATGTACAATTTAAATTAGTAAATTCACCATTAATTTTAAGTTGAAATGTTAATTCTAAAAAAATTACAATAATAAATACTTGAATCTTCTTTAACTTATGAAATTTAAGATAAATCAGCATGATTAATTTCATATAAATTTTCTGTTTCTATTTCTGTAATAGTTTAATCATTAGATGGTTGCTTCATAAATTCTGTAAAATCATTTTCTATTGATTCTACTTCTGTGTTATCTGTTTATTCAATTTTTTCAATTTATGGTGTTTATGTTGACTGTAATTGTTTTAATTAAACTTTTTCTTTCTTTTTATGAGAGATTTGTTTTTTCTAAGTTTACTTTTTGATTATTTTTTATTCTTTAATTCTTTCTTAACATTGAAATGTGGAATTAGGTTAAGGTATTTTATCAAATTACAATTTTTCATAATATGAAGAAAACAATCTAAAGAGTTAGTAAATGAGAACAATCAATTACAAATATATAGATATCATATTGAATGTCTTTGGTAATAACAAACTAAGTAATAAATAAGACAATATACTTCAAATTTTAGATGATAACGGAAGTAGAAACTGCAATAGAATTAGTAATTTGAAGTTTATTAGTTGTATCAATAAATGTAAGTGTGAAAAAGGCAGCTAGTAAATTCAAATACTGAGTTTAAATAATATTATTACTTGATTTGATTAGAATATGGGAGTTAATTTTGGATGTGACATCATTTAATTGGAATCCCAAAATTCTACAGGTTGATTCTCATATATTTGTAGTAATGAGTTTAATGTTAAGAATGAAACTGTTGCTCTTAAAACTGAAAGAGACATTAATTAATTAAAACAAAAAGTATTTGAAAATCCAATTAAAAATATCTTGCATTTATATTAATCAATATAAATAAATTCTTAATCAAGCATTAGAACAAGCTTCATTACTAGGCCAATCTACTGAATCAATATGATTATCCAAATTTCCAACATTGAATTGACTTAACCATTATCTCAAACTCTTTTAAATAGTAAATCCAGATTTTCCTGGAACTTACCATGAAGTTGATTAATAATATGTAGTTTATAAAAAACTAAAATAAAATATAAAAATTATATATACCAATGTTCTAAACATGCAGGTGCAAAAGAACCTGTATCTCTAAATATTGATCGTCTACCTGAAATGACAGTCTAAATACTAGAATGTAATTCTTCAATATATTTTCTTTCTTTTTAAGAACAACCTGACAAAGAATTTCTAGCTACACATGATATTTGTAAAAGATCTTTAATACTAGCAGTATCATATAAAGAATTGACAATAAAAATGGGTACATTTACATATCTAATATTAAAAATAATAATTATTATACCTTAATAAATATTGAGCATAGAAACATTTCCATAATTCATTAGGATTACTTTAAACACATTCAACATTAGGGTTACTGGCTTCTTAATTAACTAATTTCTGCATTTCAATCAATGATAATTTTGGTAATTCAGTACCATCAATAGATTTCATATCAATAAAGATTCCAGAATCAGGTACTCCCAATACTTAAACATTCAAAGGTAATATATCTCTAAAATATTCAACCCAATAATAAGCTGCTAATCCTCCTGCAGAACAACCAGAAACTATTACTGTACCACCTTTACTCATTCTTTCATAGAATTCAATAATAATTGATTTCACTATTTTATCTCCTCTGAAATATAATTTTTTTCCATTATATAATGCAGCATCTTTCTTATAACCTTAATGTCCTAAATATTAATTTTATAACATATACCTGTTCCATCACAATAATTGATATTAATGATATTCCAATTATAGAAATCAGGATTCAAAGATTGTGATCTAGAAAAGAATCCATTATATGTAATTTTTGGTTCATTATATTTTGAACTTCCCAATTATGTCTCAGATCATAATTTATATAGATCATACCTTTTGTATGCTGAATTTAACAATTATTATTCGTTCAATCCTTGAATCCAACTAATTAGATATATTAAGATTCTTACGATCCTCCAGTAAAGTGAAATATGAAATTCTATGATCCTGATCCGTATCCTTCAGCAAAATAATAAGACTTAAATATTATATTGAAGTACTCCTCTTGAACCATCCAAACATAATCCTTCAGGATCACTCACAAAATAGAGATCTTGTGAGTATGATCCAACTATAAGGCATAATATAATCAATGTAAATTTCATAAAGAAAATAATTAAATATGTGGCAAATTGTATATTTAATGTACTTTAGATCATCTTAATCTTCTGGCTTCTCTTTCACATTCCATAAGTTCCAATGTGTCACCTTTTCTGACTGGTCCCATTACATTTCTAATCAATGTTCTTTATTAGCCAACCAATTGAACCTTAACTTATGTAATACCACCTCTAGAACCTGCATTAAATATTTATAAATTCTACCTGTTCTTCCAATTATTTCGATGACTGTGGCTCTTGTACCTTCTACTCTTTCCTTTGTTGAATCCATAATATAGGCTTATCTAATTTTTTAATTAAATGATTTAAATAATTTGTTTATTTCATACAAATATATACAAAATTAGTATCAAAACTAATTAATTCATATCATTTCACACTTCTATAAGCATTACTTCCACATCCTTTCTATTAAATATAGCTTATAGAATTATTCAATTGTCTGGCTTCACTTATATCCGATGTTTATGCTTTCTTACTTTCTATTATTTTACTTCCTTATTCAAATTATTATATATTCTCCTGCCTAATAATCATAAATTGATACTTATAGGTTAGAACTTTCCTTTTCTCGATCTAAACTTTCCATTGATACTTTACTTTTAAATTCACTATTAACTATTAAAGTTACTTCCTAATTTTATTTTTCTAATGCTTTTTCTGATTAAATATTCTACTCATTTTATTATTTATAAAATGCCAACTTCAATTATTACAATTACTCAACAACCTTTTGCAATACTACTAATTCAAACTTGGTTGTCTTGAATATACTTTAATTTATCTATTCATTTTCTGTATTTTCTAATTACTTGATCTTCTATTTTGCTTTATCTAATTAATTTTGTAATTTTTCATTTTCCTTTTACAACTAAATAACTTTTTATTTAAGTATTTCAATTTCACCAAATTACTTATTTGATACTTAACTTCTCTAATCGTAACTTGAATCCCTATAGTTTTACAAGATCCTCTAATTTGGAGAGTTTGATCTTTAAGATCTATTTGTAGTATTTGAAAAAGGTACAATTTATTACTGTGGAAGATTAAATGCTTATTACATTAATTTTATTTAACAACAATAACATATAAAAAGATTTTCTATAATATTTGAAAAGTTCATCTAATTTTTTATTAGAATTCAATTCCATAATTAGATGATTTAATATCATTGTAAATTATATTACTAAATTAACATGATAAATAATAATACTAAATAATAATACTAAATAATAATAAAATTTCTATCTAATTTATTCTTATATCTGATATTAATGTTATTATATATCTGATATAAAAATTATTCATTTTAGTTTTTGATACATTAATATATTAGTGTTTTAAAGTGAGATTTAACTTAACGAATTAGTTTATGAGATCATGTGTAGATTAAAAATATGTATTTTCATGAATTTTTTATTTGATTATTTATATGTCAGAAAGATCATTGTCACCCTCTGATTATTATGAATTAAAGCATGTCAAAACTATAACTTATTAACATACTTCAAACTTCAAGAAAGGAAGAACCATTCTATATTCAAATACTGATGAATTAGAGAATGATTTAAACATATGCAATCTAAGTTGTGATTGTTCAGAATGTGGATAATTAATTGGATTCTCTTTGAAAATATATAGACAATTACCTCTAAAAGAAACAAGGTATTGAATGATATATGTATTCAGAAATTAAAAGAAAAAAAGAATCTTGAGAAAATTTAAGGCTGTGGGAAATGCAATCATTTTTATTTTGATATATAAAATGGAAGCAATAAAAAGACTAAAAAAGAAAATGCATCTTCTTAAAGCAGTTAGAAATTTAACTGTGCGAAGACCTGCACTTCCATAATCAATACAATTATTACCAGTTTAATAATCAATTAAATTACCTTAAAGGTGATTACAATCAATTATAAATTAATAGTTATGATGAAGAAATAGAAGAAACAGTGTCTATTCATCCCTTCTAACCAATCTAAAAGGGACCAAGATAAAGCAAAATTTCTATTTATATGGAAAAGATGTTAAAAGATGTATTACCAAAAAAAGAAATAGTATTAAAACCTTTAAATATTGTAAATAATGCACTCAGTAAAGGTAACAAATATAGACACATAAAATGCAATTCTTAATCCTCTTTAACTCATTTTAATTATTAATCCTAAATCAAACCTTTCTTTGAATTTAATAGAACACAAGCAACTAATTTTTATTAAAGTAACAATAAAGATATTTTGAAATTGATAGATATTATGAAAATAAAACATAGAGTCATTAGAGTAAAAAAATGATAATTAATTTTCTTATAAGTTTTTTATAGATAATTTTATATGAAAATTAAAAAATAAATAAAATATTTAAAATCTTATTATGATTACTGATCTAAGTTTCATGAATAACTCAGATTTTAAACCCTTTAAAAATTAATAAAATTTATTGTTCTTATTTAAATATTAATATGTCTTATATTCAGAACAATTTATGTCTTAGAGGCATTGATGATTTAAGATAAGTATTTAAATAGGTTCAACTTCAAATTAAATAACCGAATCAATCTAGAGAAATTGAAGTTGATAGGGTGATTGACACAACACAACCTTCATAACATATTCATCAGAGTTATTATCGGAATCTAAATAGAGTAGAATCATCTAAAATTACTATTGAAAAAGAATTGACACATTTGGAATCATTAATAAGACAAATTACAGTTTAAGGGCAACCTTCATAAATCTTTGAATATAATATAAGTGTTAGTGAAATAGAAAAACCTAAAGATAATTATGAAATTATTACAGTAGTCTAAGCTTTTTAACCTTAACCTATTTAATTATTATAAAAATGTTCCTGTCTTTAGAGATGTTCATATTTACTAAAATGTTCCAATTTACAAAGAAGTACCATTGTATTTAGAACCAATTGATATTTAAAGAGTAGTTCCTACATCAAGAATTTCTGATAGAATTTATGAAATAAAAAATTTAACTAAAACTACATAAAGAGTAATATCACAAAGATAATATGAGAGATCTTATATTTGATGATTAAAGTATTTATTATTATTAATGTTAAATAAATAAATTAAAATTGCGATATATTTAAATTCTTAATTGATAATATTTATAATTTAATATTGAATGTTTGAAAATCAATATTTGAATATAAATCAATTACAAAAACTTTGAGTAGATTGGTTATAAATTAATGACATAAACCTAATATACTTTTAGCTCGAATTGATTTTTGAATAGTGCCTATTTTTATTAAGCTTTTAAGTATTTTGATTTAAAACAAAATAAGTTTTAAAACTAATAAATAGATGTTAAGTTTGAAATTTTTAAGGTATATTATTTAAAATTCATAATATGAATATATGATTCAAAAATTTAATTCTATTGATATTTTTATACGATTCAAATGAATGCTTTAATTTTATATAAATTACATATAATGATTTTAAATATAGTAGTAAGGAATTAATAAAAACTGTTAGAATTAAATTTGTAATTATCTAACTTTATAGTCTTATATATAAAACTAAGTAATTTTTTAATGAGATCCATATAGTTTTAATCTAAATTACATGAAATACATTATGTTTTTATAATTACTTATTTTTATATATTTATCTATTCTATTATAATTATAAATATTTATGATTTAAGATTTGAGACTTATGATTAAAGTATATATATAATTTGTAATCATTTTTAAAACTTAAGATTTCTCAATGCTCTTCTTACAGATGGATGAGTTTCTGAGAAATAAATTAAGTAAATAGAGATGGCTCTATCTAAATCATTTTTTGCATTTGTATTTTAAGCAATTTTGGTCATTGCAAGATTATTCAAAATTTATGCTTCAATCAATGTTGATTTCTCAGTAATCTAACTTAATGATATTTCATATAATTCTTATGCTTTTTTATATTCTCCTAAATGATAACAACTGCTTCCTAAATAATTGATAGTCAAAATTTATGATAATCTTTCTTTAGGATATTGAATCTTTATATCATAAGCAGCATCGAAATACTCTATAGCATCTTCAAAATCATGATTAAAATAGTGTATTTCTCCAACGGCATGATATAATTGACCCATAATAAAAGAATCTTATTTGACTATTCTTTTAATTTCTTCAATTGCTTACATTCCCAATTTAATAGCTAAATCATGATTACCAAGATGAGCATAAACTATTCCAATATATGATATTGTCAAAGAGATTTCAATTTTTAATTGATAAATTTCATAGATTACGAGTGCTTAAACATAATAATCTATTGCTTTTTAATAACTAAATAATTGTTGGCAATTCTAACCCACTCTCAAATANTATTGAATGTTTGAAAATCAATATTTGAATATAAATCAATTACAAAAACTTTGAGTAGATTGGTTATAAATTAATGACATAAACCTAATATACTTTTAGCTCGAATTGATTTTTGAATAGTGCCTATTTTTATTAAGCTTTTAAGTATTTTGATTTAAAACAAAATAAGTTTTAAAACTAATAAATAGATGTTAAGTTTGAAATTTTTAAGGTATATTATTTAAAATTCATAATATGAATATATGATTCAAAAATTTAATTCTATTGATATTTTTATACGATTCAAATGAATGCTTTAATTTTATATAAATTACATATAATGATTTTAAATATAGTAGTAAGGAATTAATAAAAACTGTTAGAATTAAATTTGTAATTATCTAACTTTATAGTCTTATATATAAAACTAAGTAATTTTTTAATGAGATCCATATAGTTTTAATCTAAATTACATGAAATACATTATGTTTTTATAATTACTTATTTTTATATATTTATCTATTCTATTATAATTATAAATATTTATGATTTAAGATTTGAGACTTATGATTAAAGTATATATATAATTTGTAATCATTTTTAAAACTTAAGATTTCTCAATGCTCTTCTTACAGATGGATGAGTTTCTGAGAAATAAATTAAGTAAATAGAGATGGCTCTATCTAAATCATTTTTTGCATTTGTATTTTAAGCAATTTTGGTCATTGCAAGATTATTCAAAATTTATGCTTCAATCAATGTTGATTTCTCAGTAATCTAACTTAATGATATTTCATATAATTCTTATGCTTTTTTATATTCTCCTAAATGATAACAACTGCTTCCTAAATAATTGATAGTCAAAATTTATGATAATCTTTCTTTAGGATATTGAATCTTTATATCATAAGCAGCATCGAAATACTCTATAGCATCTTCAAAATCATGATTAAAATAGTGTATTTCTCCAACGGCATGATATAATTGACCCATAATAAAAGAATCTTATTTGACTATTCTTTTAATTTCTTCAATTGCTTACATTCCCAATTTAATAGCTAAATCATGATTACCAAGATGAGCATAAACTATTCCAATATATGATATTGTCAAAGAGATTTCAATTTTTAATTGATAAATTTCATAGATTACGAGTGCTTAAACATAATAATCTATTGCTTTTTAATAACTAAATAATTGTTGGCAATTCTAACCCACTCTCAAATAGATTTTGGCTAATAAGATTTGATCCTTTATGATGAATAATCTTAAACATTTTTCAAAATTCCTGAAATTATATGATTAAATGTTAACTTTTTTCCTTATTGATATTGACTAATTCTAGATTAAAGCAACCCTAATATTAACAGTGCTTCTACGTAAATTACATTTATTAGATTACTAGTTTGGAGATCCTCATTCATTAATTCTATCTCCTATATGAGTTCTGTAAATTATTTCTATATAATTATTTTGAATATATTAATACAATAGCTAATTCAACTTATCCTTCTTATTCATTTCCTATACCTTTTTATAACATTTGATATAATTTCATAAGTGTTTCATCGTTCTATTCCTTAACTTAGGGACTTAAGATTTTATTGAAATCAGTAATTGTTTATCTAGGTATAAAAACTAAAGAATCTCTAGAAAATAGACAATGCTATTTTTGTATAGTCTCAGCCAATTTTTCACATTAATCATTAATACTACAATCTCTGGATTATTCAAATTGTTTTTTCTCAATCTTACTAATTTCACTCACTTTTTATTAGTCATCTTCTACTTCAAGAGTATTTTGAATAATAACTTAAGAGTTGTCCAAATCTAATACTCCAGGAGTCTTAAATTATAAGTAAAATTATACTATATATTCTGTTTACATAAGAAATTTATCAGTGCATCTTTTCTAAAGAAACACTTGATATCCTTATTTAATGTAATCATTTATAATTCTAAGAATTTCTGTATCATTTTTGCTAGAGATCTCTACTTCATTCATTATTAAATTATTTTAAATTATTAATGATCAATTACTTACTTGAATCAACCAGTTAAAAGTAAAATCAAAAGATTGAAATAAGTTTCTCTATAATTTAAAAAAATGAATAAAGTATATGTTATGATTCATAAAAATAATATTAGAAAATAGATTATCTTATTTTAGAATTGTTTAAGAATTTGACTAATATAAAAATATTAAATTTTGATATATATAAATAATATAATCAATTCAAATATTTATGTTATCATTTAATAAAGATATTTTAATTGTTATATTATTAATTTTCAATAGAAGACATTAAATAAATGATTGATATAACAATAAAACTTTGATTTATTATTAATTTCTATATAAAATGTCACATAATAATTAATAACCTGGAATATATTATTTGGTAACTTGTTTTTAAAATGAAGAGTAAGGTGGAGCTAAAAACTTGTATTGTTATACGTATATGATTATCATTAAAAATAGAAATATTTTGGAAATAATTTGGGCTTTGATTATTTTGATTTCTGGATTTATTGTATTATTTAGAAGATATTAAAAACATAAGGATATAACTAGATTCAATCGTAAATAGATTATTGTTACAATTATGGTTTTAAATATATGTGGTATAAATTTAAGTGTGTAATATTAAGCATATTTAACATATTAATGGTCATATGAAAGTGCCTTACTATATTTTCCAGAATATTATTTCTAATACATCTTTTTTTGTTATACTATTTATTATTTTGGAAGAAAATCAATAATATTGGGAATGCTTAATATGAGAATGGATGTTTCATATTAAGATATTGATCCAATTATTTAACTAAAATTATCTAAATTATTTTGCATAGGATTATGTTCATTTTTTAGTATAATTTTTATAATGAATTACATTTAATACTTTTTTGTTGTTAGTACTTTTGGTGAATATGATTTATGTTTTGGTAGATAAATTAAATATATTTTTAGCTAGTTTTTTTAATATTGTTACTACAGTAGGATTCTTTATGTAAGGTCTTTTTATTTTGTAAGTTAAGTAATTGTCTAGATAAGTTTCTAAAAATTTAAGTGCATAGAAATTAGATAATCCAATGATGAAATTAAAAGAGTAGATTTAAAAGAATTAATCTTCTTTATGGATATTAGTAATCTTTTGTTTTTTTGGTTCATTTGCTAATTTTATGTAGAATGTCTATTTTGTATCTATGATTACTAAATATAAAAATAATGTAGGTTATTTTACATGTTGGTATGTCAATGTAATATATATTATATATTAAAAAGTTAAATAATACAATTTGGACTAATGGAATAAATGCATTAATAGGAACAACAATAAAATTATTTGATTTCTTTTTACCATATTTTTTGACTATAAAAATCTTTTGGTATAATTCAAAATAACATGAATAGTAATTATTTGTATTGAATTTTTATTAATTATAAATAGCAAACCAATAATAATGATTAAATTGAAGTAGAAGTTTATGAATTATAATTACCTAATAATTAATCATAATAAACATCAACATAAAATATATAAGAAGAATAATGATTAATATAAATATTATAATGAATTTTATTATTTTATATTTTTAATTACTATATTAATATAATGAATTAAGATTGTGTAGAATGCCAAAAGAAAGATCAAAAAATTAAAGAATTAAAATAGAAAATTACAGAATTAGAAGAATAAATAGAAACCTTTGGACCTGAATTTTCATAAGTAAAAGAACTTGATGAAAATTCACAAAAACTTTTGAAAGAAAACATACAAAAAGCCATTGGAAATCTAATTGGTTAAGATCCTAAACAAAAGTATACTAGAAATGCATAGTCTTAGAACTAGTTAAATCAAAGCTCATTTTTAAAGGACATAAACTAGCAATTTAACTGAATTTTTAAAATAACCTAACATTGATGAATAACACACTTATCTTGGATAAAGATTTTTTGAACACTTTCTAATTATTGGTCCTGATCTTGAAGAATTATAATCAGTTAATAAACAAACTAATGAAATTGTTGTCAAACCTAAAATTCTATATTAATTCCCTAATGTTAATGAACATCTTTAGTAATAAATTTCAGATATTTTAGTGATGTTGTTCCAATCTACACATTCCCTAATGGTATCTTATCAAAAAAATTAGAGGCGTCTGCTAATAATTTCAATGATAAAGTATTACCATAATTAAAGCAAATTATTATGTAGACACTTTAATTAACTAAAGGTGACAATCAATATTCAATAACAATTCCAAGAGAAGATATTTAAGAAAATAGTAGAATGACTGTAAGTGAATTTGTATAAGAATCTAATCCTAATGTTTTTAGAAATATTATTTGTTTTGAAATCAATGAATTTATATGTTTAGATCCTAAATCATATAGTTGTTGGTTATGTCCAATAGTACATTGTTTTGTTAGCTATTACCCATTTATTAAATTCTTTTTAAAAGAGAATGCAAATATATGGAATTAATTAAAATTAGAAAGAATTGAACCTTGTCTCAGTGAGGCATCTAGTCATGAAGTTATAAAAAGAGATTTTATATTTATGAAGAATAAATTAAATACTATTATAAAAAGATTATTTGGTTTAAGAAGCATTCAACTAACTTATGATTAGAAATATCAATTAAATGATATATAAATTCAAACACCAAAAAAAGATAGTGCATAATTTTTATAATTTTTATGGGGTTGTGATTAAACTTTCCAAATCTTATCATTCAAAGAATTAATATACTTAATCTCTCATGTTTTGCTTTCTCAAAGAGTTATACTATTTTCTAAAAAGAAATCTGTGCTTTCTCATATAATGTTAACTGTTATTTCCCTTATGCATCCTTTTACTTATAAATTACCATTCTGTATATTCATTCCAGATGAACTTATAGATAGAGTAGCAGCTCCTTGTCCATTTTTTTTTGGGGTTATAGGAGAATATGAAAATTATTATTAAAGAATTGAAGAAGCTTAATAAGAAGATATTACATTATTTGGTAATTGTTAACTTTATCTAAGATCTAAATACAAAAAGAGTGTATTTTTCTAAAGTATAAAGTCGAGATTTGAATAAGTGTATAGCTCCAATTAAAAGAAACTCACATTTAAAATAATTATACAATTTGATTAATAATTCAAAAGAAAATGTATTTAAATAAATTGGTAAATTAAGACCATAAAAACTTGAAAAATCAGGAAGTTCCAATTCTACTTTGAGAGATAATGAAAAATAATATCAATAATTGCTTAAAGATATTGCAAAATAATTCTATACATTTTGGCATACAACAATTGCAATACATATTCCAGTAGATAGGAAATTCATTAAAAGTGGCTCTATTGCTGCCTTAAATTTATAATTAATTTCTGAAGTGATGTTATCAAAATGTCCAAAAGATTCTAAAAGATTTATTAAAGAATTCATTTAAAACCCAACATTTACAGGATATTTAGATGAACTTTATGAAGTTATTTATTAATAAAATTAATGAAAAATTAATTTATTATATTTAATCTATATTTATATATATATTTTTATTTAATTCATTTATTATAAATATAAAATTCAAAATGAATGAATTATAAATTTTTGAAAATTATCGATGTCTTTATCATCAAATTTAATTTTTGAATTGTTTAATAAAACAAAATGATCAAGAATAGAAATTAAATATTCATGTATTATATTAATTAGATAATTTTAATAGAATCATATTTTGAATAGAGTAAAATAAATTTTGAATTTGAAAGATTAAAATTATATGAGAATGTAAGAAATATTAACATTAAATGTAATTAATTGTTTAGAAGATATATTGAAATTAGAATCATCAGAAATAAGATTATTATATTCAAATATTAAAATTTTAGTAGAATATTTAATTTATTTAAATGAATTCATTAGTTAATAAGCATAATAAGTATTACTTGGAGATGTTATAATTGATATTTAATTAATGAATAAATAAATTGATGAATGTATAAAAAAATGTAATCTAATTATTACTAAACATAAACATTTTTTTGAAGAGTATAATGAATTATAAGAAATAATTAGTAAAACAACAAACAATATTAATGAATCATCATAATTATTAATGATAATAATAGATGAAATTAAAGAATAACATTTAATAAATGAAGTATAGAGAAGATGTTAATTAAAGAATGAAGATACTATTAAAAATCTAGAATTGTAATTGTTAGAATGATTTTCATATATCTTATAAATGTATTTATATATTTTGATTTCTCATTCAAAATCTCTACCACATAAAGGTTCATTTTCCCAACAAGCAAAATTGCCATTCCATCTTCCTAAATTAGCATCTTTATTTCTGCTGTTAGTAACATAATTTAAATAGGGTTGTGTTCTAATTAGTAATGATCATACTTAGGAGTAGTGAATGCATGTCCTTATCTTCTATAATTTTAAAATTCATTTATTGCAATTCCAATAACAAATGCTGCACCACAATACCACATTGACATATTTCGAATCAAACTATTTAAAAAATGTATTGAATTAATACTTAGAAACAAGTAGATTTCTAAAAGACTATCTCCAAATAAAATCAAATGGATTTTGAGTGATTCCATGATTGAAATCTATAGGTACTCTGTGATTTATGACTCTTCTAGAGAAGTTGTACTTTCCTACAAAAAAGTTTGATGATTCACTCATTTATTTTTTTATTAAAAAATATTACTTATTTATAATATATTAATAAATGTATATTTATGATTGTATTACTATAAAAATGTATATTCTTAATCAAGAAATTGAATAATATAATATATATTTTAGTTAATTAATTAAATTCTAAGCATAAAGAAGATAATTTTAATTATATCATAATTAGATTATATTTACAATGATTTAATATTATATTTATATTTTCAATTTAAATTATAATAGTGATATAATATCAGTTTAAGATCTTTTATAATACTTCTAATTCAGAGTAGATATAGATAGGCTATTTAGATTTGATAATTAATTTTTTTCCATTTTTTTGTTGCATACATAAGTCATTATCAAATACTTATACTGAAAAGGCAAAAACTGGAGTATATAGTATTTATTCAGATTCCATTTTAATTTATTAATTTCTTTGATTTAGTTATTTATACATCATATAAGTAAGTGTAGCTTTTGTTAGTTTTTTTCTTTTTTCTTTTAATATTTCTAATTTAGTTCGAACTTATTCTTTTTAAAAATTAATTACTTCTTTGTCTTTTTATTCATGGAATGAGATTTATTTCTTGTCTTTTTCAAGAACTCCCATGGCTACCATAACATTAATAGCATCATATACTCTCCTTTTTAAATTTTGTATCTCTTTTCTTCTTTCAGTAGTATGTATTTTTTGAAGTTCATTTTGCAATTTTTCAATAAGAATATTAGCTAATATTTTGTAAGTAGTGCTTTTTAATTCCTTAACAAGTGTTTTAATTTAATAACTTAGTCCTTTAAGACTCCAAAATGATTTACTTTTTAGTTTTTCAGATTCAGATGTTTCTGTAATAATAAATTCAGAATCAGATTATTATTTTGATGAATCTGATTACATTTCTTCATCAACACATTTGGATAATCTTCTTTAAATTCTTTTCATTATAATAGAATAGAGTATATATTATGAATTAATAATTTTAATAATTAAATGGATAATTAATTAAATCGATCTAACACAGTTAATATTGATATTAGTTGTAAGTCTTTTTAAATTATTGATAAGCATACAAAATAGCATCTACTCTTGATACTATTAAAGAATCTTAATTAGAAAGAAAGAGAAATCGATCAAAGCGAAGATTTCATGCAGCATCGTTTCATATAGGAAAGGATGTATAAAATAATTAGGAAAAAGGAGAAAAACAAAGATAAGAAGATCATTCATTAGATTAAATAAGAAGAAATTATGTACAAAAGATGAAAGCATTCCCTAAGATTGATGCTTATAAACATCTAAAAGGTTATTTATAATTGTAGGATCAAGAAGTTAAGAGAATCAAAAATAATACTAATTAATTATCATTTGGAACTCTATATCCTTAAAATGAATAAGAAGAGAATTAATTATCAAATTTTTTGGTTGGTACATCTCCAATAAGAAGAAACTATTCTAATAATCGTTATGTATCTGAAAGTCCTGCTAGATTTCTTCATAATTAAGCTATACCAAATTTAGATGAATATTTAAAAGATAGAAAAGCTAGAAAATTAATAAGATAGACTATAACAAAAAAAGAAGTAATTTTATAATATGAATTTTTTAGCAACTTGAATAATAAATATAAGATCTTGAAAATAAAAAGTTTAAATTACATGAAAAGACATAAGATCCTAGAAATCTGAGTTTGAATGAATTAATAGAAAAATAAGTACATAAGTATATTCCTTATAAATTTGATGCTAAAGTTGATACTCGTAAATTGTATAATTTTAATAGTATTATTTAGAAATACAGAGAAAATTATTAAATCTACAGAAGAAGTTCCTATGACTATGTTAAAAGAAAAGTTATTGACTGATAATATTAAGACTAATGGGGAAATGTTTAGTAGTATTAATCCATTATAATTATAATTGTACTCTATAACAGATAAGATTCTTTAATTTCATAAATCAAAATGTAATTTTTTTAATATTAAAGAAAAGTTCAATTCTGACATGATAAAATCATTGTAAAAGAGTGATCATAATAGAAGATAAACATTATTTCATAAACATATGGTTTATCATTAAGAATAATAATATGCTAGTAGTTAAAAGGATTTATTTTATGTACAATAAGAATTAATTGCAAATTTGAATTAAAGAATAAATTATAATGAAAATTTAACTAAGAAATTTTAAAAATTAATAACAATTTTGAGAGATGGATAAATAGAATTAGAAGATGATGACTTATCTATTTTAAATGATCTTAGATATATAATTCTTAAAGGAAGAAATTTAAGTGATGAAGATTTTCTAGAATTATTAAGATTAAGAAATTTTACAATTTCTTTAAGTTGTTTAGAATTAATTGTGAATCATCTTTTCCCAAATAGTAAAAATGATATAATCAAAGAATATAATGAAAATCATTGTTGATATAATATTTATAAATATTTATACAATCAAAAATTATTAGTCTATTAATTTTTATCTAAATCAGGTTATGAAATAACTTTATCTCTTAAAAATTAGTAATTATTCATTTATCGAAAATGATTACCTGGTAATGTAGTACAATTACTTATTAATATTTTAAATATCTATTAAATATAATTAATATTTACTTTAACACATTCTAAATTCTCTTCACCTAATAAATTTGACATAATTTCTTTTTGATCTAATAATTATATTGGATTTTATGATTCTTCAAGAATTTATCGAACATCTAAGAATTTTTATTCTCCAAGTTTTTTCTTTAAAAAATCTGCCAATAATAAATTTCTATTTGGAGATGTAGGAGTTTTTGGATTAAATAATTATTTAGCAAATTATATTGGAGTTTCATCAATTTATTATTATAATTAATCTTCTTTTTCTATTAAATCAGTATCTATTTTAATTATTTTCTTTGTCATTGGTTTCTTAATATTAGATTATATTTGTTCAGAGAATAGATTTTTAAATAATAATGATTAGGATTTATTTTATGGAGTAAAGATAGGCTTATGCATTTACTTTATATTATTATTTTATATAGATTCTTATTAACCATTATCAATTTATTTAAGCATTCCTATTAATCTTTATTTATATAACTATGAGAACTTTATTCTTTCCTTTTTTATTTCTGGAATATCTAATAATTATGAAATATCTGGTCTATCTTAAGGATTCTTTTATAAACATTAATTTATTATATCCTAATAAAATTATGGAAATCCTTCAGGTAATTTTGGAGTTTCTCTTAATATAATATTTTTGAACACTTCAGGTAAAGACTCTCCTTAAAATGGTTTTTATTTTGTGCATAATTCATATAGTAAACATCCTAATCCCCAAATATCACTCTTTGTATTATAAGGTTTAGATTCACAAATTTCTGGTGACAAATAATAAGGAGTACCTTTAAGAATAAATTATAAATTATATATACCTAATTATGTTAGATTTAATGAGGCATCTAGCTTTTTAGAAATACTGAAATCTCCTAATTTAATCTAAATATCTATAAATATAAATACTATTCCATCTTTGGTCAAAAATACATTTTTCATTTTTATATCCTTATGTACAATATTCATTTAATGTAAATATTATACTGCTTAACATAATTATGTAAACCAATTTAATATATTTGATGGATTGCTTTTAGTATATATTTAAAGATCATCTACATTTTATATTTTTTTTGAAATACAATTTTCTGCAAACTCCATTAAAATGCATAATTAATCATTTTACACAAATGAATTATAATATTTTATGATATTTGGATGTTTCAAAACCTTTAACAATGTAACTTCATTTGTTGGGTCAACACTTTCAAATTATAAATCGATTAACTTAAGGGCAAATTTCTTTTGTTTTCTCAATCCTATACCTATCCTTTATTATCTTCAACCAGCCAAACATCACCAAAATTACCCTTTCCAATCATTTTTATTCTTGTATACTTATCCATTCAATTCTTAATATATATATATATATTTGTATTTATAATATCAACCCAAATTTACAATAAAGAATTTATTAACCTTTCAAATTTAAGTAAGATAAATAATATAATTACTATTCTAAATAATATCTATTTGGTTAAATCTAATAGATCAATTATGAAAGAATATAATCATTCTAATCTTTAAAATTATTATTTATTAATATATAATGATATTATTCATATTTTATTTTATCTCTGCTTATGCTTAAATCACGTCTGATTCAGGCTTTTATGCAGGCTTTTCATCCTCTCCAGATTTTATTTGCAAAGACGGATTTTAAAAAACCGCCACTTTAGCATTTAATGGATAATTTTCAAATATTCCTTAAGTATTTTTAGGTCTAGAATTATTGAATTTTGATATAGGAATAGATTATAGACTATCCATTACTGATATTACAACATCAAGTAGATTCAATAATAGTAATTATTTAGATTTTGATGTATCAATAAATTGTATAACTTCAATTGAAGTATTCGCAGTTTAATTTTCGTGGTATGCAATAGATGACTAGAGAATTCAAGTAATTAATAATTTCAATATGGATAATCCTGATATTAAAACATTTGATCACATAAATCCAAATGCTAATTAAGGAATAATATCTATAACTAGTCTAGGAATTTATGGAGATATAGATTTTTCACTTTCAGTATGATCTTATCTAAAATCAAGATTTCTTCCATCACTCCAACTTAAGTGTCAGTAAGTATTACAAAAGTAACTGATAAATTTGTAAACTTAAAGCAACTTGGATATTAAATAATTTTAGGAACATAAGAAGCATTTTTACAAACTAAAACAAATTCATTTACTGCTCCATTTAATAGTGGAACATTATTATAATAAATGAATCGATGGTTATTTTTAAGTTTTACAGGGTTTAGTATGAACAGTATTCTAAAAGAAAAAGTTATTAGAGTATCTTTACCATTATCATATACACTGGAAACTTGTAAATTCTTTTATAATAGATTTAGTTGATGCGCCATTCGTTAAATGCAATCATCTAATATCTTGGATAGCCTATCAATTTACAACTATTTACAAACCTTTTGAATGTTAAAGTGTAAGGTTATCTTAATCAAATGATAATTAGGCTTCAACAAAACCCTCTATTTAAATTGATATATAGGAATTAAATATTTAGTTGGTATCATCAGATTAGAAATTAATAGATAAATCAATGAATTCCTTAAATATAAATGTTTATGTAAAATGTTAAAATACAAAAAAAATTGTTAGTTAATTCTTAAGATGTTAAGATTGTGCAAAGAATAAATATCATAAATTTTCAAATTATTGCAATTAATAGATTGATATTGTCACTTATTTTCTAAGGTTCTCAAGTACTTAATCTTTCTATAAAGAATTATCGATAAATTTAAACTCAGATGGAATTACTATAACATAAGTACTTTATAATCAAGTCAAAACAATAGAAACAATATTAGATATTTAAATATAAAATTAATGAATTATTAATAATATTTTTGAATAGTATAAATTATTATCATTTTTGATATAAGTCTTATAGATTTAATAAAATTAATAAGTTTAAAAAAATAAAATCTAAAAAATTAATACTGGTTAAATTCTTGTTTATTAACCTAATAAGTTTATATAAGAATTATCAATATATTTATCATCATTACATTTATCTATTTTCCATTTTCTACATTATAGTTAGAGCTTATTTATATTTAATTTTTAATTATGTTAATTCACTGATTTTTTCTGTTAATTCTCTATTTAATCTTTCAGTTTGAGATAAATCTGGTTATTATATCTTTTCCTATTATAAATAATTAATAACTATTACATTATTATTAACAATGTGTTAGATTTTTGAATTTGATTCTTTCAATAATTTAATCTATTGTTTTAGTTCCTAATTTTCTTAAATTATTTCCTAATAATATCAATTAATATTTTACTTTTAAATTTTCAATTTAATTTTAAGAAGATTATAATTAATTTTCAAGTGTTAATACTCTTGCTTATAAACTCAAAGTTTCTGCTTCTTTTACTTAAGTACTTGATGATAAAACTTATCTTTTTAAAATGTCTAATTCATATTTTAATTCTTCTATTTCTGAATTTTTTGCTGTATTTATTCTTTAATATAATTAATCTATTTATTAATTTAAATTTCCATTTTAAGTATTTTTATCTTCTCTTTATTAAGAAATTTTACTTTAATATTAAATTCTAGGACTAGTTAATGGACTGTTAATATTAAGTCTTTTAAGATTATCATTTTCATAAATTAATTTTGATTAATAATCAAAGAGTTCTGAATTTTATTTTCTTAAATTTTCATTTTATAATTTAGTGATTTCCAATTCTTTTAATATTTAATTTAAATATTCATATTATTCTTTAAATTTATTAGGACTAATTAATTTTTATTATGGGATTGGTTATTACAATTATAATTTTAATTAATTTATTTCAAATTCTTATATTTAACATTTTGATTAATATACTGTTAATTCTTATCTAATAATATCTAAATTATGCATAATTTCTGTTTTATTAAAATTCAATTCTTTGGATCTCTCAAAATTCTTATGATTAATAGAATAACTTAATTTATATTATTGACTTTATTCAAATTTACTTAATTATTATACTTATTTTTCTTATTCAGATATAGTCATTAATAATTATTATTTCTCTTAAATTAATTTGCTATTTGCAAATTTTAATTCATCCAAATATTATATTGATTAGTATTATTATTATTTTAACAATTTCAATTGATCATCGTTCTCTTTTAATTTTTATTTTAATTCTCGTATTTCATATTAATAATCTTTATTTTTATCAGACAACTCTAAATTTTCTTATTTTACATTAAATATTTAATTTACATAATTTTCTATATCTTCCTTATTAGTTTCTATAATTTATACAGTTTTAGTTTATATTTACCTTTATTATAACTCTTGAAATCCATTCTAATATCTGTTACTCAAATTTCTTTATTCATCTAATTCAATATAAATTTTTTCTAATTATTTCTTTAGATTTTAAATTTCTTATTCATATTTAAAGGATTAATTATTATTAATTAATTTTGCATCAATCATTTATAATTGTTAATTCATTTATGATAATTATCTATTTTAATCTTTATAATTTTCAAGATCTTTTAAATGATTCTAACAATTTAATTACAATTCTTCAAATTTAATTTTATATTATTAATTTTATGAATTAAATTATGAATTGGTATAACTTTATTATAATACTTCTTCATATTTCTTTTTCCAAAAGGAAACACTTTCCAATTTATCTAAAGAATGAATTTTATGACGTTATTCACTTGTTGATATTCTTGAATTGCCTTAAATCTATATCATTCTATTTTATCTTGGAGGATAAAGAGTACAATCATTATATGTTCTTGATTAATTAGATTAAGATTATAATGTTTCTTAACTTTTTAAGGTAGTTCTTAATTTTAATAATGAATCATTGGCTTTAAATAATTCTTATTTAATTATTAATAAATTTTATATTGTTTAATCTAATTCATTTTCTTTAGATTAGAGTTATTTTTTAAGATTATAAATAATGTTATCTTTTTCATTCAAAAGATTTTAATCAATAATATATATATTTCCATCTAATTATGTAGATTAATCTTTTGTTATTATAGTTGACATTTAAGATTATGTAGAAAATAATTAGATCTTATATTAATCTAATTATGAATTCAAATAATCTATTTCTTTTTTATTATTTTTTTTATTTAAATCTAATTATTTATTTAACATTAATAATTAATCTCTAGTAGTTATAATTTGTTATTTTAATCTCTAATTTTCTTATTTTTCAAAAGAATTTTCAGTTTTTAAAGTTAATATTTCATGTTTTAATTCTTAATTTTCATTTTCTTATTAATTAAATAATTCATTAATTTGATTTGATTATAATTTTATTTATTCATAATTATTTCTTAATTAAATAATTTCATTTTCTTAATCTTTAATTAATTAAATTTATTATTAATTTTCAATTTAAACTCTTGGTGAGGAAGTTGTAGATTATAATTTCTTTTAAGATTAAACTTTATTCTATTATCTTGATAATATTAATTAATTGCTTAAATTTTATACTTGATTTGCTAAATTTTAATTTTCTTACATTAATTTTTAATCACCATCCACATAAAGTACAATTTTATTTTCTAATTCTTTTATTTTTTCATTTAATTATAGTTTTTAAAATTCAAAATCTTCACTTAAAATCTTAATTTATTACTTAAAATCTTATTGTTATTTTTACATTTAATCATAAAGTACAGCTTTCTCATCTAATAATCTTCTAATTTAAATCTCTAAATCATTATTATTATTATCTTATTGATTAAAATCTTGTTATTTTATTGTTTCTTTTAATTGATCACAGTTTTCTGATATACTGATTGATCTTGAATGTTCTTTTACTTATTATTCTTCTAATGCACTTAATCTTAATTTAATTTATGATAATTATGTTTAATATTCACTTTCTTACTCTTTAATAATTTATTATAAATCTTCATTATTCTATTATAATTAATTATATTGTTTCATAAGATTCTCAGAATAACATTATAATTAATCCAAATCAATCTATTTTTATTATAATTCTAATTTTGATTATTCTAATAAATTTTGTAATAAATATATTTATTCTTATAATTCTTTTAGGATTTATTAATTTTCTTCATTTATTTTAATTTCATTTTAATTCATTTAAATTTCTTAATCCACCTTTTCAATTTTAATAAATAATTCATCATCTTCTCTTTTATCTTAATGATTTAAAAGTTCACATTTATAAAGGTCCAATTCTTTCTACAATTTAACATTCTATTCTTTTAAATCTTATATAGTTTAAGATCTTCCTACATTATCTTATTTTAACTAAAATATTTCTTATTGTAATTATTCTTTTTATTAAGAATGTTTTAATAAATCTAAATTTTCTTATTTCAATTTTTATATTTATTAATCTAATTCTTAAATTAATAAATTTTGTGAATTATTTTCATAATATTAATTATTTTTTAATTTTTCTAATTAAGAACGTAAATTCATTAATTCATCATTAACTTACTATTATTATATTGTTTATGTCTCTTTTACTTTTTGTATAAATTAATAATCTGTTTAAATTGATTTGTTTAAACAGATTTTATGTTATTTTTGTTTAAGATTTGCCAATTCTTTTTATAATGTTTGAATGGTTTCATTTAAATTATCATTTTCTTCTTTAATAGTTTATTAATAATCACCTGATTTTTCTTAGTAATTTTTATCTTAAAGTTATTTAATTAAGTATGTCTGTCTTTAATTTTATACTTTTAAATATTATAATTATTCTTCTAGATAATCAACTTATCTATTTAATTATTATATAGTCTTTTTATCTTAATTAGATTATGCTTATAATTCCTTAAAACTATAATCTGATTATCTATTCAAACTATCTTTTAGTTTAGAAACATTATCTTTTTAGAATTACTTAAATAATTCATCTGATTCTTATGAATTTTTAAAATCTGATTGAGTTATATTTTTATGATTTGTATTAATTATTTTTTATAATTATTAAAATTCATTTTATAAGTTTTCAAGTTCATTTTAAGTTTTTTCTAATTGTTTTTTATCTAAGAAATCAACTTATACAAATTGATTTCTTTTATTTGAACAAAAAGGTTTTTAGTTATTTGATTTAGTTGATTGAGATCTTATTTACTTTTATTATGTATCATTATCTTCATTTTTAGTGAATAATTTTTTTGGTTTAACTGTAGATGCTAAATCAGATTTATCATCAGATTTAATATCAGATTCTTCAATTTAATTCAAATATTTAACATATGTATCATTTAAATCGTTTGGTAATTCCATTCTTTTCAAATGTAATAAGGTAGCACTCAATCTAATTTATGATAATAATTTTTCAGGTGTAAATTAACCATCTAATTAAATTTTTTCTATTTTTTTAAGTGTTTACATAAATTCTTATTAATTTTAATTTGATGTTCGTTATGGTGAATCTGAATGATATTAAGAATTGACTATATTATTTTTACCTAACAATTAGAAATCTGAGAAAGCACTAAATGGTTCTTATTAAACAATTTTTGTTACTAATCTATATTATGATTAACCATTAATACTAGATTTTTAAGAATGAGATGGTTTTAATTATTATTTCAATTTTTCATTTTCTTCTAAAATAGTATCTATTTTTTCATTAAGAAATTGATTTTCTATTTATATTCTTAAAAGTTCTGACTTTTAATCAGATATTTCTTAACTATGACTTTAATCATAAGATGAATTTCTAATTTTGAGATTAGTTATTTCTTAATCTTTTTTTTATAACATTTCTTCATAATTATTTTCTAATTCTTTTATCATATCTATAAGTTCAGGATTTTCTGGAGGATTTTTCTTAAATATTATATTCATTTCATTAAGTGTTTCTATTTATTTTTTTGCTCTATTTAATTATTAAGTGACTTGCTTTAATTAATTATTTAATTTTTTATTAACTTCATCTGGACATCTAATTATTTATATATTAATATACTTTTCATCAAAAATCTCATTAATAAAATCATCTTTTATTAACAATTATTGATTCAATGTGGCAATTTTGATTTCTTAATTGTCAATTTTATCTTTCAGTAATTATTCTAATCATTAAATAGTAAGGCTACATGTTGTTTCTAATTATTATATTTTATCTTCATATTTTTCTGTAATTAGAATTGCTACTTTATGGAGTCTCTCTATTTCAAGTCCTAATAAAACCAATTTAATCTTATTATCAATAATTTCATTCTCTATAGATTAGCTTTTTATTGAAGATCCTATCTTAGGAGTCGTAGGAATTAAAACTTGTAGAGTCTTTTTTGGAGAAAGCATATAAATAAAAATTATTGTGAAAAAAATATTTGTAATTAATTTTATTTATCATTCTGAATCAATACAATAATCTAGAATGTTTTTAGATTAGTTAAGAATGTTGCATTAATTGAATTATTTATAGATTTATTATTAATATTTAAAATGAATTGGATATCATAAAAAGATGAACATAATAGCATATTTAATAATGGAGGAGATTTCTGGTTGTCAACAAAACAACAAGAAAACCAATAAAATCTTATATTTTAAGGCAAAGCATTTTAAAAATAAGTAAAAACTAGAAAATGGGAAGCTGTACATTTAGAATTATATGTTGACAAGTAATACGTTTCATTATTCATTTAGATTGGTTAAAATTGCAAATAATCAAGCAGAATATTGTAATATAAATGCTTGCTACTTAAAAAAGATTAAATATTCTGAATCCTCATTTTAACCATATAAACATGGGTTCAGATTACATTATGGTAAATAAAGAGTAGAATTCTTTACAGAAAGTCAAGATCATTATGAAAGATGGTAATCTGCTTTGAAAAGGTACTGTATTCTAACAAAATTTAATAAAAAATACAAACTTATCTGTAAACATAAATTAAATGAACCTTATCCATCTTGTACTTATAAAGCATAAAGAAATTCTGATGGATTATTTTTTTAAATAAGAATCATAGAAAAAAGTTAATTAGATGATCCAAGTTTGGCCTTGAATGATATTGCTATTTCAAGAAGAGTTGATCATGTTTATGTTTAAAGATTGTAAGAAGTATATGAAGATTAAGTTTATATATATATTGTATATGATCAATATGCTGGAAGAGAATAAAAATTTTTACTTCCACAATTATTATAGACTAGTGAAAAAGTAGTTGCAGAATTACTATATAAATTATTATTGGGATTACATCACATACATAGTAAAGGAGTATTTCATAGAGATATTAAATTTGATAATATATTTAACAGATTTCCTGATTGTATTACTGATTGCTGTCTTGTTAATTTTTCAAGTGCAGATTTTCATGAAAATAAAATGCATAGAAGAATTGGTACTCCAGGTTTTATGGCTCCAGAAATATTCAAAACTAAATAATATGACTAATAAATTGATGTTTTCTCTTTAGGAGTCATATTTTATTATATTGTTTTTGGTAAAATGCCTTTTGGTACAGATCTTAATGAAGTATATTTTATAATTTAAGCAGAGAGGTGCTTTAAAAAAATGAATAAGGAGATATAGATTATCCAGATTTCTGTAGAATATCAGTCAGTGGTCTTTAGTTGATGAAACTAATGCTATAAAAAGATCCATAAAAAAGATGCACTTCTTTTTAAGCTTTAAATCATCATTGGTTTATAAATTTAAAAATAAGAGATTTATTAGGAAAACCAAGCGTTATGATGAATCAAATGAAAATGGGATCTGGACTTAATTTATCGACAATCTTAGAAAAATCTGATATGATAGACAATTCAAATATGTCAATTGCTATTACTCCTAGAGGTGTTATTAAGAAAAGTTAAATTTCAAGATCCAAATCTTCAGACATTAATATTTTGGATCAAGAATTTATTTATGAGACATTAGCTGATAAAATGAAATGTCTATAATACACTATTCCATAACCATCCAGATTAAAACACAAATAAAATAAAATGTAAATGTAAAAATGACTTAAATAGAGTTATAAATACTATTTGCTTTTTAGATTTAAGTTATTCTTTCAAAATTAATAAACAATAATATTATAATTAAGAACTCAAGTATATTGATTCTTTAAACTCTTAATCATAATTTACATTTATCTTCGAGGTCTTCCTTTTCCAGAGGAGTTTGACATTTTATCAGATGATTTGAATCTCACCTTCTTTTATTTCAAATTCTATATTTCATTACAATGCATATTAATCCTTTAATAGGACAAAGGCATTTTTAATATACTTTTCAATGGAGAATTAGAAAAATTTGATTTTTTATTCCTTAACTACAATTTTTATTACTGGTTTTGTTTATAAATACAATAATGCTTACAGAAAACTAGAGATTAGGTCTCTTTTGCTGATTCAGTATTTGAAGTATAGGTTATCTCTATAGAGTTGTTCTCACTAAAACCTTAAATACTTAAATTTTCAGAAATCACTTCAGCAATTTATTGATTTTAATCGCGTAATTCAAATTGAAAACTCTTTTAAAAGAAGTCTTCTTCAAATTTATCCCCATTTTCCTAAAGATTATACGAATATTTTTCAAGGAATTATTATTTATTTGGTATATTCTTGCCTTAAACTTTGTCGAATGTTTAATTCATATTCTTTTAATCGTTTTAAGCAAATTTACAAATACTTCCCATTTTATTGGCAAAATAATTATAATTTAAACCCAATGATTTGATTTAACCATAAAATGATTCTAAATTAAACTCAATTTTATATATTTTGTTATAATAACTGATTTATCAATAGTTTCATATTCTTAGAATTTTAACTCTGGCATACCTACTAATCATATTTTATTATATCTTATGATATCTGATATGAAATATTAACATATATGACAAAAATATTTAATACTGAATTATATATGAATTTAATAATAATATAGATCTTCATATTAATATATATTAAATAAATTAAAAATACAACTCAAATTCGAAGATATATCTATAAACCTGAAATGGTTAAATTAAGTTAATAATATTGGAATAAAGCTAATTAAGAATTACATGTAAATTATTTTTATATATGTTATACAATTCCAAATATAATTGTAATATTTATAAATGATAATTAATAAAATTCAATTAAAAATAGATATTATAGGATATAACCTAATAAAATATAGTTTAAGTTTTTAATTCTGCCAATTTTAAATATTAGTCAAAATAATTATTTTAAGAAGAGTATTTTGATTAATTAAAAAGCCAGTAATTTCTTATACTTCGATAATTTATTTTTTATTAAACAAAATCGAGGAATGAATTTGAATCATCCAACTACTTAAATTAGGTACTAAAATGTACGACTACTATAAATTACTCCAGCATTTTTTGAATATTCAGCTATTTAAAAATCAAATAAGAGAGAAGTAATATTAAAAATACAAAATTCTATCAATTCTAATGTTTTGTAAGAAGAAACTGCAAAATTGATATAAATATAGGATATAGAAGGCATACCAGAAGTAGTAGATTATGGTAATAATAATGATTAAAGGTATTTTTGTTTTTAAGTATAGATATTTTTTGGCTACTTAAACTTTAGGTCCTACCTTCAGTTAGATTATGTAAACAAATTAGTAAATGCCATTAAAAAATGTGTTATTGATTGGTCTTTAATTAATAACACTTATATAGAAAGTTCATGAAAAGAATTTTATATTGAGTAATATAGTGCCATGGAATTTCTGTATTGGATCAGATATAGAAGATAAAATAATATATTTAAAAGACCTAACAACTTTATAAAGCAAGAATGACAATAATAAAGTTATAAAGTTTCCAATTAAAGAATATACTTTTCTAAGTCCAGTATTTAATATTGATAAAGGACCTAGTTAGATTGACGATCTATATAGTTTGGCATATTTGTTAATATATCTAAATAATGGTAATCGAAAATAATTATCATTAATAGCAATATTACCTTGGCAATAAATTAATTAAATAATTAATGAGAAATAATTTTAAGAATTGTAAAGTCATAAATTAAAAATTACATTTGATTAATAATTTTTGGATTAACAATCATCAATTTTTAGAGAATGGTTTAAATATTTAAGCACTTTAAAATCAAGCTAACATCTAAATTATAATTATTTAAAAAATATTCTGATTTCTAAAATTTATGAAAATGGATGGAAACTCAATGATTAAATTGAATATAAGAATGAAATAATGAGTTAAAGTTCTAAATCTATTGTGTCTATAAAAAGCAGAAGCAGAGGTACCTCTATAACGAAAACTCCTAATTAACGAATGATTGAGACTTTGAGTCCTATAATGGAAGTTGACAAAGAATTTGAGTTAGCCCAGTCAGCTTAAAAGCAAAGTGAGGAATTTTCAATCTTTTAGTAGTTTTAAAACTTAAAAAATTTAATGGAAGATTAATAATAGACTGAAAATAATTTAAGTTTTTCTTCTATTGAATAGAATGAATGTCAGATATGGAAGAAAATGGAGATACTAGATAAGATATCAAAACCAATGTAGATGATGAATAAATTTGTAAAAAAATGAAATGATACTAATATTATTATTACTTGTATTACTAAGTTATATAGTTGATAATTTATGATTAATAATGAAAATGAGTTTACTTATATTAAAACTTTATTTATATATTAATAAATCTGTGTTTATCACTCTTGTTGCAACTATTAATATAATTATTATTGTTATTATTATGAAAATTAATTATCTTCTTCACCCTAAAATAATTTTAAGTTCATACCACTTCCGTATTTAAAGGAGTATCACTAACAATATGATTGTTTTATGTAGTGACCTCATATTTATTGGGATTATGAGGGGCTTTTTCAACAGGAGCAGATAATTTCATATCAGCCAGTGCATTTTTTAATTAGTCTAGTTATTATTATTGATCCTCATCTTCTTAAGTCTGTTCAATTTATTATTATTATTCATCCCTAAATACTTTAGTTAATTATAGAATACCCAATTTAAGGTGGATTTTCTACTGGAAATAAGGGTTTAGTTCCATCTGGATTCCATGGTCCAATATTTAATGATAAAGCATCAGTATTTTCACATTTTGAATTACCACCAAGAAAATCTGGCAAATTATCTATATCAATATGTTTTAACAATTCTTCCTTATAAGAGGAACCTAAGATAGTTATTTTATTTTTTGTTTTCTCATCCAACCAAATCTTAATCATTGCCCAAATTCCAGTAAACATCATAGGTGCATTAACAATATACATTCTAAATGAATTATCATAATTAATTACTTTCCAAGAATTTCTGGATAATTGTTTTAACCAATATTTGAGGCTAATTAAATAAAGTTGTAAACTTATTTTGAAACCATCTTCATAGATCCTCCTTTAAGATCTAAGATTGTGAAAGATTATTCAATTTTTGTTCCTTTTGCTTGTGAACATGCAGGAAAGATTCTTTTTAGCAATAATTCATAGGATTGGATGTAATATTTAATTAAACGTTGTTCTGTAGTCACTTCAAACAACTTATTTAATTGAAGCATTCCAATTCTTTCTATATAAATAGGTCTTCCCTTTATTATTAATTTTATTTTATACCATTTTATCAGTCTTATGATACCCATGAGGATAATGTGTTCTTACTTATGGTAATTCATCAAACATGTATGTCTATGTTTAATCATATTAATACCATAATATTATCAACATCATTCTCTTTTCGCCACTTTATGAAATCATTAAACATTTATTGAGTTTTCCCTAAATCAAATTTTCTGGCTCTTAGAAATCTTAATAAATATGGATCATCATATATTTTCTCACTCAATCCCATCTAATTTACAATATTTCTAAAATCACTCAAAGCTTTTAATTAAGTCTGATTGCAATCACCTGGAAATCTATCTTATACAATATATCTAGTTACCCTGTATAGTCTTTGTCCTTTTTACTCATAATTTAAAGATTTAATTTATAAGAAGACAATATTTGATGTTGTATTTAAAATCAATTACTATAACTATTATTACAAGTTTCTTCTCTTTTTCCAATTATTAAATATTCCATAAATTAATCAATTGATTCTTTCTCTGATGCCCTTATTTATATGGAATGAAAAACACTTATTTTCAACATTTAATACAAAAATGCCTTGAAAATTGTTTTAACTTAATAAATAATCATAATTGTTATTAGATACAAATTTATTAGAAAAAAAGTTAGATAGTTCTTAATACTATGCATATTCGATTCTAATTAAACTAATAAATAATATAAATTATATTTAAATCATTTAAAAGCATGAAAAACTGAAAAAATATGATAATAATATCTTCATTACTCTAATTCAATTCGAGCTTATAATAACTACAAAATTTATAGATAAAACAAGCAAATAATTATATTTTAAAGCTTATTGTTAAATTGTAAAATAAAAAAATATTGTCCTAGATATATAAATGTTATTCTAAAGGTATAAACTCAATGAATAATTTTTTTTAATAACATAATAATATATTCATATAAGATTTATACATTATTCAAACTTTTTTATAAAGTAAAACAACTTAGGAAATTTTTGAACTTAAATTCATGAAGATTTAATTGTTCTCTAAATATATATATAATTAATAATGAATAAATTTATAAGGAAAAACTCTTTAAATTAATAATCGTTGAAAGAATAAGAAACAAAAAGATTGAAACAATTCATTCTATAAATTGAATAATAGCCATCCTTATATGACACATTGACAGAGGAATAAATTTTTGGGATTTTGTGCATTATTCTTACGAAATCATCTTATCACAGAACTTAATCAGAAATAGAAATCCTCAAAAAAGCAACCAAACACATAGTCTATTTTCAGAAATTATTAGAAAAAGATTAAGGAGTTTTACTATGGGAAAGATGTCTTAGAAAGATGAGTTATACATATTTATCATATGGTTAGACATTATTTCATGAAGGTACTGTATTTTAATTATAAAAAAAGGGGATGTAGGAACAACATTTTACATTATATTATAAGGAAGAGTTAGTATACACAAAAGAATTTTAGTATAAGATGAATTTTAGGATAAGGAATTGATACAGCTATAAGATGGGTAAGCTTTTGGAGAATTAGCTTTAGAGAATAATGAGCCAAGATCTGCCTCTGTTAAAGCTATACTTCCAACTCATTTAGCAGTATTAGAAGCTGAAGATTATATGGTAATTAAGAAAACAGTGGTATTTTAATTGATATTGAATTTAAGATTAACTAATAAAGACAAATGTATTTTGAAGAATTTGCAAAATTAGCAATTTTCAAAAGTTGGAAATTTATGAGCATAAAATCCTTATTTGATGTAATAAAATAAAATAAATATGGACTTAATCATATAATTTATAAAGAAGGGGATATTTCAAACGATGTATATTTTATATAAACTGGATAATTTAAAGTAATTCTTTTCTCACTCAACTCTCTAGGTGATTAAAACTCTTCGGATTAAAAAGCAAGTTGAAGATAATTAAGTTGAGGATGATTTAGAACTTCTTAAAGATTATTTTGCTTATACAAAACCAGTTCTATCCAATTAGGACAAAATAGATATGTTATATTAAAAAAAAAAATATGGTAATTTGATAGCAGGAGATAAAAAATCAATCATGACTTTAAAATTTGTTGGGGCTGGAGAAATGTTTGGGGAACTCGAAATCTTAAAATCAAATGATCTTTGTCGTCAATTTAGTTATGTTTCGACTTTTGAAAGTAATACTGTATATTCAGTTTCAAAAAGAGATTTCTTAAGAGTTATACAAAATGATTAGCCTCTTTATGAAAGTTTAAATGTATTGAATGACGATAAATTAAAGTAAGCACTAGCTTAAATTAAAGCTTATGAGAAAAATTTTATTGATTAAACTGAAAAGTAAAATATCCTTTAAAGAACTTAAATAAAAGAATAACTTAATCCTAAACTCCTTACTGAAGATGATATTGAAAAGAATGTTTTAGTGAAAAATTAAAGTTAACTATGTAAAATTAGTAGCAAAAAGAAGTCTATTGACAAAAAGATAAGAGAGTTAACCTTAACTCTTGAACCTCCTAAAAACGAATCAGATTCTACTACTCTACTTTCTCAACTCTATCTTTCTGAAAGACACAGAAGATAAAAAACAGAATAGCAAATTGTTTCTATCTCAAAAAAAACTCCTTTAATGAAAAAAAGATCATTTGAAACTAGAATTAAATATGTAAATACTACACAATCCTAGGATATACCAAAATTAAATGTGTTTATATGCACAGTTATTACTAAATTATTTAAAAATTAATAATTAAAAACAGAAAAAACTGAAGAAGACTTATTAAATGGTAAATTACCAAAGTCAAGCTATAAAGAAATAAAGAAGAATCTTGAAATCTTATAAGATAGCCCAAGATAAATCTAAAAAAAGACTGGAAGTGAAAGTACTTTAAGCAAAAGAATTCACTCTACTACATCAAGACAATAAACAAGTCCTGTAACATCAAGATTTAAATAGATTGATAAAATTACTCCAATCTCTTTTAAGTCTTAACTTCCCTTTGTTCTATAAAATAAATACTTTGGATTAGCATCTAAAGAACAATGATTTATTTTTATAAATTGACAATCACTAGTTTATAATTTAAATGATAATTTATACACAATCTAAATCAGGAATTTCACTTAAACCCATGAAAATCTGATTGATTAACTATTTTCCACATTGATTTTTCTTACTTAATTGTAAATTGTTTAGAAGCAATGGATTACAATGACATTCTTTTTTTGGTGACGCTACTTAATAGTTTATTATAATAAGCCGGATTTTACAAATAAGATGATACTGTATTCTTTTTTACATATTTTGCAGATCGAAAGTTAAGTTTAGCAGTTGAGAGTATTTATGTTTCTAAGTAATTATGAAGCTATATATTTTCCTTCATTGATGAGTTTCCACATTTATGTTATGCCAAACTGAAAGATCTACATCGTATTTCTTGCATGAGATTTTTTGATTCATTCTTTAAACTATCACATCTTCTCATTATGATTTGGGTTTATCTGTTAAAACATTCTTTCATAAATTAAATTATAAACGAGTAATAATAAACAATAATTTATCAAATTTAATTAAAAACTTCATATGCATTCTTTTGTATTAGTCAATGTGCTTCATTTATAGAAAAGCTTTTAGTTAATAAATGAAGATTTGTTTGTCTATAAAGCACTTAACTTAAAATTTAATATAATATTTATTTCAATAATAGTTACCACTTTAACTAAAAATAATTATTATAAAAATGATTAGTAAATTTTCAAACTATTTATTCAAAAAAGTTCCTTCTCTAATCGATGCTTTTATTGTTACACCTTAATTAAATCCTCTTCTAGTTCTTCTGTTTCTTCAGTTATGATTTTCATTTTCTTATTTCTTGAATTGTCTCTTTATTTCTTTTTTGATGACATCGTATACCTTATCATTTCATTTTTTATAAGTAGCTCTTTGTTAGCACTTTCAGAATTATAAATAGAGTGAAGCTTCTCTAAAAACTTAGACTCATTTTTTAAAACCAAATCTAATATATTTAATATGAAATTACTTTTTATTTCCTCCTTTTCACTCTTGGTTATTAAATTTTTAGATGTTAGATAAGACAAGATTTTTAGAACATCATAATAAAATAATTACATAATATACTATGTATAACTCTAAATACAAAAGCTAAATACAATTAATTTATTGAAATAACTTAATAGTTAATATTATTTCTTTTGATTCTTCAATTTAATGCGTAATTACTATTCTATACATGTTTCTTGTTCTAATTAACATAAAATTTAATTTATCAATCAATTTTTTTCTTTCGTTTTATCTTTTCCAATAGTCCTCTTATTGATGTTTTTAGATTAGAAATTTATTACAATTTGGTATTATATTGAGGTACCAAAGAGAATATTTTTTATATGTATTGAATTTGTTCCTTTTATTTTTCTTTTTTAATTAATTCAATATCATCCAATATTTAAGCCTACTTTAATCTTTTTTAGTTAAATACAATACATAGATTCTTCACTCTATTATTTTAAAGATAAAATTCTTTGCTCATCTAATTATACTAAGACTAACTTGAAATCCTCAAAGTTCTTAATTTACTCAATGTCTATTGTAGTTTACTTTGCTAAATTGCTTTCCAAAGATTGATTTTCTTCCTCCTCATCTTACTCATTAAATTCGCCTTCATGTTCAACAGCTTTCAAATTCATTGGCAATATTATTATTCTGATATTTGAAAAATATATCAATAAATTATATAATTTCTTAAATTTTATTCAATTTTCTTGAAGAATATTTGAATATCAATATTGTTTTTCAGATAATCCATACCTGATATAGATTTAAATAATAATAAATTATCAAAATTATATTTATTTTCTAATAATTAATTATTAAAGATACTCAAGAAACCAAGGGTTTAGTTTGTCAAATCTTGTTTTTCATAACATTTTCTTTTCTGTATTTGAAATTTATAATTTTATTCAATATATATATTTATTATTATTTTAATTTGTTCATTCTTAAATTATTCTCAAGTGTATTGCGATCATTTCAAATCGTCGATTAAAATACATTTAAATAATATGTAAAAAAATGTTATAATAATTTTGGATTGATATAATTAAGTAAATTATGATATGTGTTTTAGATAGGTTTCTAGGTAAATATATCCATAATAAATGTTATTGAAACTCAAGCCAATGTCTCATGAATAGGAAAATAAATCATATACATAAATATTGTAATTCGATAATAATTGATTGTTTTGAATCCAACAAATATTAAATATATCCATTTTACAAACAGGAATATCGATTGAAGTATATTATATGATATTTAATAACATTTCAAAAATATAATCAATGATTTTCATCATAATAAGTAATATTTATTATAAAAATTTGGTTGATAATAACAGATATTTTTGTTTGATTTTAGGTGATTAAAAAATTAAGTTATAATTTGATTAAAGATATTTCCAATATTTATTATCAATTTATTTATTCAATTTAGTTTAACAGGCAAGTGTGAAAAAGACCAGTTAAGGTTGTGATAAAATAGGGATAATTTCATATAAATTATAAATCGATTTATTTAATTCGTTTAAATAATTAGTGGGGTTAATTTTAATATTAAATGAAGATAATTTTTATACATATTTTATATTAAAAATATCGAATTGGAAATTTTGCTAACCAATATAAAATATACTTTTCACAAAATATATTTTATTAATCTAACAATAAATTAAATTTATAGTATAATCTTACCTTATTTTAATGAATATTTTAGTTTACATATTTATACTAAAATATGTTGTTATTTATCTAACATTTGACTAAATTTAAATTCAAATAATTTTCTACTAATTTAATTTTAGTCATTTTTTATTTTTATATTAAATATATAATTTTAATATAATCATTATGTATCATTTATCTTATTATACTAAATCTGTATAATAATCTAATACTTAGTTAAAGTTATAGCCAAATATTATTTTTTAAATTAATTTAATATTGATATTAATTTTCTAATAATCAAAGCATTTTATAGCAAAATATTTGTTAAATTAATTTAAAATATATGTGTTTATAATAATTTAATAGTTTTTATTTTTGTTAATATATATACAATATCATTCTAATAAATTGTTATTTATATAATATCTATATTTATACATAATAGTTCAGAAATAAAATATCTGCAAAAATTTACCTTTTTTTTTGTTCAAACTTGATTATTGTAGAATACTTAAAAGAAGATTTGTAATAAATGTTAAATCATTCAAAAATTGTAATGCAGCCTTAAATTCTTCTAGGTTAAATCGACTGAATAAAATTTTATATTAATTTAATTAATCGAAAAATACAAAACAATTCTAGGAAATGTAAATTTTGAATTTGGAGAAAATGAAAGATATATATATTTATTTATTTTTTTGAGATGATTAAAATATATATTAAGTTTAAAATTATAAGTTGACTTATATAAAAATTTTACTATAACAACAAAATAACTATCATTTTATGTTTGAAGTTCTTAAATACATATAGAATTTTCAGTTAAATAGATTGTTTTTAAATTCGAACAGTTATTTAATTTATTTAGAGCCATCTTAATCTTTTAATTTCTATTTTTTTATTTTGCAAAACTTTGAATTAATAAATAAAGTTATTAATTCTTAATATATTTCTCTCAACTTCATTTGGTATTCGATAGTTGGATATTGAATTAATTCATATTTAGTTTCAGAACTTTAAATTATTTTAACTCTATTTTGAGATTATCTCAATAATAAAATATAACAATAAAGTAAGAATATTTTAAGAATGATTAAATACAATTATTATTTCTTAGAAAATAGCAATAAACATTTATAGAATCAAGCACATCCTAATAATCGAAGTAACCAGTTTTTTTCTGATTTGGGTAGGTTTAAATTAATTTCTTTTGATCTTGAAGGTTGTGTTAGGCTTTGATAGTGTGATAGATCATAAGTGGATTTTCTGGCTGATTTTCTTACTTTTTTTTCTTAATATGTTACATGAACTAAGGAATATACAAAATTTTCTGTTTCTTCTAGTCTTAAGTTTGATTGGTAAGAGGGGAAATCCATTTTAGGTTAACCATTTTTCTTGGCAACATATATGTCATAATTATTAGGATTTTGATCTACTGGATTGTGTTTTGGTACAAGTTTTAGAGCTCTAGAAGTAGCTTCTTGTAATTCGATATTACATGGTAGATCTACATGAACAAGTATTACTTCTTCCTCATTTGGGATAAAAAATTTATATGATTTCGTTAATTATGAAAGTGCTTCTTTCAAAGGACTAATCAGTTATTTTTTGACTTTTTATCCTGAAGTTTTAGTGCTATCTGTTTGTGACATTTGTTTTTGAGTGTTATATTAAAATATATAAATATGATTTTAAGATAATTTATTTTAAGATTTGGATGCAAAATCGAAATTAAATATTATGTCACTATAGTATGAATTTATTTTTTTTAATACTCCATTTTCTTAGTAATTATTAAATAAGATCGTAATCTTATACAGAATTATACAATAAAATAATATTTATGTAGTGAAATCAATAATAATTTATTTTATGAATCGAATTTTGCATAGATTTTATTTAAAAAAAATTTGAATAGGAGATTAAATATTGTTTCTAAGGTTCGATAGAAAATTAATATTAATTAGATTCATAGAAAAATTAAATTATAGGATGGTTGCTTTATATCAACCTTTCTTCACAACTAACTAGTATTTTTTCTTTGGTTATTTACTGCTTAGATCAAAGGATTAAAAATGGCTTTCTCATTATAAGGCTAAAAGAGTATTTGTATTAATCTAGTTTTCAAAAGATCTCCTATAATATTATATTTGATTGGACAGAAGTATTTAATTGGCACTTTACCTAATTTCTAGTTAGAAAGTAAATTGCTCTTCTTTATTAAAAATAGAAAGTTTTTATAGTTTTGTTTATTGTATCAAGTTTATAACTATATATACCATGCCTTTATTTTCTTTGCTTTTTATTAAGCTCAACCAAATCATAATTCCTGCAAGATTTCTACAGTTATCTTAAATTCAATCTGATGTTAAACAAAGATTATATATTTCAAGATAAGATCCTCTGTTTGAAATTGAATGATTTTTATCCTCGTTATTGTATGGAGATGGATTAATTTAATTCAATTTTAGAGAATATTCAATACTCAAAAATTGTACCATAAAAAAACCATGATAAAATTATAGAGCAAAAATGGTTTTAGCTTTAAGAATATTACATTGATAAATTTTTTTTAAGATTGCTAATCCATTATAGGCTATTGCATCTATATTTGATTATTTTTATTTGCTCATCTAAGCATCATTTATATATTTTGCGTAACAATTTATATTTTTAAACCATCTATTTTGAATACCTCTTTGAATATTTTACTTGATTAGCAATATTTTTAATAATTCTAGCAATAGTATTGAGTTTATTCTTTGAATTTTTAGTAACTAAATAGTTGAGCATTAAATAAAAATAAATAAGTGATGATACTATATAGATTAGTTATAATTTTTATTTTTAAAGATGTAAACTCCTACTTTTTTTCTGATTAATTTAAGTGGTTCGTTTAAGGTATCATCTAATTCAAAATTTTGAAAATTGATTTATGGAGAGAATAATAAGTATTAAAAAATTATTATAATATAATATGTAGGCAAGTTCTTATTTATCCAATTTATTCTATTATTAAATTTCTATCCATTATGAATTATTCGAACCTAATAACTACATTTGATATTTATTCTTGTAGTATAATTAAACATGAGAAACTATCTTATAGTTTAATATATAAGTTTTCTTTAACTTGATAAGAATTATATGGATGTGTAAATTTTTTTACAAAAGATTCATAATTTCCTTAAATAAAGCATCTCATAACATTAATTACCCATATTCGATAATATTTATTTTTTAATAAAAATATTTATAAATTCAAGTTTTTAATAATATCAAGAAAATCATTTAATAAACTAATCTGTATTCAGTAATGTTATAAAAGAAAAAGTAGATATTTTGACCTAAAACTATTATAAATATTTAAGAAGAGCTTAAACTATTGTTAATTTAATGTTAGTAAATTTAAATATTAGAGACTCTTGAATTAATTACTTGAAAATTTAATAAGTTTTGGTGTTGATTTTGTTAATCAGAGTTTTCTGTAGGTGATATTGTGTTACTTCAATATTAAATATAAATCCATAAAAACCTTAAAGATAAAATAGCATTTTTCATACATATAATTTAAATATAAACAATAAGCTTAATTTGTTTGGGAGTGCTTGGCCAGCCTAAGGGAAGGGGAAGGAAAGGGATTTTAAGGGAATTTGAAGGTAGGGATCATAAGTAGCCTAAGGAATTTGCAGGGTTATGGGCATATGAGTTCAACAAATTAAATACCATCAACGGCAGGCTAAATTGGCTCAGAGTGCAGTATGTAGATTAAGACAGTCCTCTAGTAACTTTTATAGCTTAAGCTACAGATAGATAATTGGATTCAAAAGATTCTTTTGCATTTGGAGGCCCATTTCAACACTAAGAAATTGACCAAGAAAGCAGTTGGGAGGAAATAACCACCTAAGTCAGGCAATGCCATTCCAAAAGATCTGTCTCTCTATTTTTCATCCAAATCAGAAATCATAGTGATCAGTTAATCAGTTGTATTAATTTGATTTATTACTTGATTATAAATAAATAAAAATAAGTTATGTAGTAGAACAAAAATCAGATAATATTTAATATATAATCTGTGCATTAGGTCAATCAAATATTTATATTTAATAAATAATACTAATTTATATAATCAACGATTATTTTTTTGGAATTAACTTTACCTAATTCATTAACAAAATAATATTTGGGATTATGATGGGATTGTTTTTCAATGCTCAAAATTAAAAATAAAATAAGAAAAATTAAGTTGTTAATTAATTTCAAAAACCCATTAAGGATTTTCAAGAATCGCAGAAAAAATTATCATGAAACAATACAATGATTATATTATTTAATAATATTAGAGATTTATTTTGAATGAAAAATTTAGAGAATTAATACAAGCAAGAATATCCAAATTTGATTGCATGTTTTAAAAGAAATACTTATCAACTGCCTCTAATAAAAGCAGACTTGTAAGACTAAATAGATGAAAAATTTGATTAAGTGCAAATAGAAAATGAATACACAATTGATACAAATCTCTAGATAGAATAAGCAGAAATCTTTAAATGCTTTAATCCTGAAGCTCTTAATGAAGCATTGTTTTAGAATGCCACAATCTTAAGAAAATTTGGCAGAATAAGATCATTGATATCAAGGGGTTAGTATTTAGCAGTAGGGAGTAATTTAGGAGCAGTACTTAATTTTTATATTGGAGCTGATCCTCCAAATAAATCATATGTAGAAATGAAAAGTCAATTACTTTATGCGGCAGAAATATGTTAAACAGAATATGGTAGTGTAAATTAATTAAGTTTTAATTTATCACAATCACAACTTGCTGTTGGTTTTGATAATGGAGTCATAGGAATATATGATATGATAAATATTAAGCATTTGAAATGGGTTAAGGTACATTAGATAAGAATAGTTTCATTAGGATATGTTAATGAAAATACATTTGTTTCTGGCGATGAATAAGGCAATTGCTTTATTACTAGATGTGCTAAAGGAAGAATATTTTATGATTTGGATTCCCAATTCATTATAAAATCACAACCAATGTCCATAATTAGGTCCATTCCTATGAAATGCAAACCATTATTCAATTTTCCTGAATATACAATTGTTGCTTTGGGTAATGGATACAAATGTTGGGTTTTGAGGATTCAAGATTCTAATGTTACTCAATTTACAATTTTAGCAGATTTTTAAAATGATGCCCCTGAAAATAATTAATGTGTTTTAGAATGGGATATTCTTAAGGTTGAAGATAAAGATAGATTAGTATTAGGAATATCTTGGACTAATTAAACGAAATCATTTATATTTTAGGGAGCTGAATATGTGGAAGGGAAAATTAGAGCAAATTTTAAGTTACTTAAAGAAATCAAGATGTCTGCTAATGTAAAATTTAAATACATTATTAGTTTATATATATGAATTCAATTTATAATGATTTAGTTTTATTATTAACTGAAAAAGGAGCAGTATATACAAGTAACTTTACTAATTATAAGACTTAAAAAATTATTTAGATGGAAAAATTCGAACCTTTACCTCTTATGTATTGGAAAGATAACAAATATGAAAGTTAATTTAATGTATGTATTTCAAACAATGAAATTCTCTAAGAAATATACATTTTAACAAGCTAAAATGTTACAGTATTAAAATACTATAAATTTGAAGATAAGATACGACACTTTATGGAAAATTAATAATTTTTATTGTGTTTTTAATTGATATTATGCATACACAAAAAAGTTTTTATGGAATTTGATCGATAAAAGTTACTGATATTTGTATAATAGATAATTGATTTGTATAGCAAATAGATAGCTAGATTGTAAATAAGTGGTAAAACAGAAGAAGCTTAGAAAAGAGGAATTTCTTTGGTTAAATTTTTAATTGATATTGGAACTGAATAATATTTAAGTTCTATTTGTGATTTGCTATCAAAAACATTAAATGATGAGTCAAAATTCTTTTTGAGTATTGTTGAACCCTTTATTATTAATAAATAGTTCAAATTTATTCCTGATGAAGTATTGTTAAAGCTCATTTCTTTGTTGAAAGGTCAGAAAGGCAAGATTTTCTTGCTCCTCAATTAATTAGATCTTAATAGAGTGAATTACTCAATATATTTATAAGCTTGTTTGGAGAGCTAATTATTTTCTCCTATGATTTATTTATGTACTCATTCAGCCAAAAATGAATTTTTGACTCCATTATTTTAGATATGGAATTACAGCATGAAGCAATCATAATTAGAAAACTTTGAGGAAGAAATTACAAGTGTTAGAAAAGTGATTTCATTTATCGAGTATATATTATAAGGCAAATTATAAGATGGTCAATCAATACCTATTACTACATTGAAAGTAAGTTAGTTGAAAAATTATTTAGAATACTATTGAAATGATGATTGTGTGGATTTTTGAAGAGAATAATTTAAGGAGAATGATATGGGTAGATCCATATGGGGCTTTTTATATCTTATATTAAATAATGACAACAACAAAATAAAATTAAATTGAATTAGACCATTCAAAAAATTTGTATATATTATTGATTAATTTAAGAAATGTGATTTAAAAAGTAATGAAAATGTTTATGAATCCCAGTTATCGTTGGAAATTTTAATAATAAGAATTTGAAGTCTAATAATAGTTTAATGATATAAGTGGATATGAAAACTATGATGTTTAAACTGCTTATTCATTCTTTATAATTAAAGTTATATTCATTTTGAATTTAGAAGTAGAATTTGATATAATGATGGATATTCTTCTGTTTTGTACATTTAATAAATCGTTCTTGTTCTACATAGATTATAGATCATATGCAGAAGTTATAGACAAAAGTGAATTAGCTTAATTAGAATAACATTAAAGTCATTCGGAGATTATTGAATATTTTCAATAACGATTGATACTAAAATTTGTACATATTTTGGTTAATAAAATTTAAACACCAAAACACAAAGAGTAAATAGAAATGTTAAATGGATTTACAGATCTAAAATAAATACCCTTGATTTAAGCTTATCTTTATTATTATGTAGGTGAGTATTAAACACCTGTATCTATTTATTTAAGATCAAATAATATTTTAGTATAAAAATAAGTATTCAAATATTTATATGACACTTTAATATTGATGGTATAAATTATTATCTATTATAGCATGGCAAAGAAACATATGCATAACTTAATGGTATAATTGTATCAAAATTGTAAGATCTACTAAATTTAGATATCTAAAAAACTAGAGAATTGATTTGTTAGTTTTAAAAAGATAATGAACTTTAAGTAATAGAGAAATTAGGTCAGAATAAGAATTTATAATTGAAATATATAGAAACAGTAATTAAGAAGGATATTAATTCTGAATTTGGATTAAGTAACATTTTGTTGATAAAGCATATAGAAGTATTATCATTATTTAAAATTATAATAGCTTTTATGTGAATTATAACCAGAAAAAGTTTTATCATAATTATAGAAAATTCATTATCCTTTAGAAGAAGTATTGGAAATTTGCAAGAAATTTAAAAATATTGAATCCACTGCTTATGTATATTGTAGATTAGGATTTATTGGAGATGCAGTGCAATTATAGATTGTGTTATTAAGAAATTTGATATCTAAAGTTGTTGCTAAATAAAAAAATGTTGAAATAATAGAATAAAGAGAGTATGATGAATTAGAAGAAAAAATGAATTAGATTTCAGAAATATGTCAATATCATTCAGAAAATCCTGAGAAGAGTTGGTATTATTTTTTAGATAATTTAATTGAATTAAATTATGAGATTACAGAAATAAAGTTGAATAGAATTCTAGTCAAAAAAATAGGACAATTATTTGAAGTAATAAATTATTAACATTTAGGATATATCCACTCATACTCCTTTAGATTTGTTTGCATAACAATTAGGTACTAAATATAGCAACATTAATATTAAGGATTATAAGGGGAATTTTATTAAAATGGTCAATACTTTTTCTTATTAACATTATTTCATTTAAAATGCTAAATTTATAATACAAAGATTTTTTAATATGGAATCACAGAATTTTTTGAGATCTCATCTTTAAGGATACTTTACATTAAATTATTGTGATATTTGCAATGAGTAAATAGAGAATAAAGGATATAAATATTTATGTGGTCATTTTATTCATATTGAATGTAAATAAAAGGATCATTAAACATGTTCAAAATGTTTATAATCAGAGAGATTCTTTTTAGAATACACTAGTCAAAAATAAAAATTAAAAATTAGTAGAATGAAAAATGATGAATAAATTAAATAAATAGATACTAAATATTTAAGTAATCAAATTCTATTATAATATAAGATCCTTAAATATAACGATAGAAAGAAGAAAAAACAGAAACAATAATTAACAATTCAGCTAAACTTTCATTATATGATATAGAAAGAGAATAGAGGTATAATTTGAGAATGGAATAAGATATTATTAAATTAATGAGAGCTAATATGTGATTATTAAATATTTAAATTATACATTATAATTCTATATGACTGATAAAAAGTGTGTAGGCAAGAAATATGAATATTTTTTGAAAGATAAACTAGGATCAGGAAGTTTTGCAGAAGTTGTTAAAGGAAAAAATAAATAAACAGATGAAATTGTAGCAATCAAAGTAATCAAACGATCTATCTTAGCAAAATATGGGTATTTAGTTATCATTTATATTTTAGTGATGATATCATGAATTAAATTCAACTTGAAGTTAAAATACTCAAAGAATTAGCAAATCTCTCAAAATAAACTAAGTGTCCTTTTATAAATAGAATATACGAATTCCTTGAAACAGCAAATAACTTTTACATTGTTTTAGAATTCTGTAATTAAGGAACTTTATATGATATGATAAAGAAAGTTAAAAAGATTGAAGAAAAAGAAGCTATTTTCATATTATTTCAATTACTCTAGGCACTTGCCTTACTGGCTAATAATAATATAGCTCATCGGGATATCAAACCAGAAAATGTGTTTATAAAGGATGGAGTATATAAATTAGGTGATTTTGGTTTTGCAAGTTAAAAATCTTTATATTAAACTCATCTTGGCACATTTCCATATATGGCACCTGAGTTTTTTAATAGTGATTCATATAATACTAAAGTTGATGTATGGGCGTTGGGACTTCTTACTCATGAGATGTTATTTGGAGAATTATATTATATTGGTAGAAGTCAATACGAAGTCTAATAAAAAATATTAACAAAGCCATATATTTTACATGATTAAAGGTATAAGGTATCGGATTAATTAAAAAATTTATTATGCAAAATGGTTAATAAAGATTAAAATGCAGTATATATGAATTATAAATTATTAGAGAATATCTGCATAAGAAGCCTTAATGGATCCTCTTTTTGATTTCTGTAGAAATGATCAAAGATATCTAGATATTATGGAATTAGAATAATAAAATTTATATCAAATTAATAATAATGAATAAGTTGAATAGATAAGTTTATTATAAGATGAAGATAAATAATTAGAAGAAAAAAAGTAGAAAGAAGAAGAAGAGTAATAGAAAAGAGAGAAAGAGAAAATAATATAAGAAAAGAATAGCTTTATATAGAGTGGAATAAACTCTATTAAAGAAGGAATTCTAGATAAAATTTAAGGAATTACTTTAATGGTATAATTAGCAGATTATTTATATAATACTATTTAATAATTATGCCGATTTGAAATTCTTTATATTTTGAAATAAGCCACTATTTTAATTTAATAATTAAAAGTTAGACTTGAATAAAAAGCTATATTAGGAAAACATGATCATATTAAAATAGAATTTGATAGTGAAATATGGATGTATTTTTATGAAGATAAAACGTAATAAATATATCAATAATAGTGTATTTTAATTAATTGATGATATTGAAACTGAAAAAAATAAAATGAAAAAGAAATATATTGATTATATAAACTAATTCAATAATTTTGCATATTGTAATTTTCCAGATAGTTATCATAAAATAGAAACAATTGCTAATTTAAATTTAAGCAAACCTATAGATATTCAATTATATTAAGATTAATTATTTATGAGAATGTAATTTTTAAAATAGGATTCTCTCAAAACATAAAATAATGATATTAAACAATAAATATAGAAATGTTTATTATGGTTATATGCAGTTTATGAATATTAAAAATTATGTTCAGGATAATTATTTGATATCTAAAGATTTATATAAGCTATTATAAATGATGATTTAGATGAAATGAAATCATGTTTAAATTTAAAATGAGCTATAATTCATTTAATTATTATTCCAAAAAATACTTATCAATTATTATTATTTATTTATTTAGATTGGATTAATTTTCTAAGTTCTTTTATTTTATTTAATGTTTCTTCTGATTATTATATACATTTAGTTCCTCTATCTTTAACCCAAGTCTATTTTTCTATTTTTTCAACTTATATTGTTAAATTTTATATTTTATTATTGTGAATTTCATGAAGTTTATTTAAATTATCTTCTTCACAAAATTTATCTAATCTTATTGTAGATTAAATCTAATTCATATTGATATCCATTTTTTATTCTTAAAATTGTTTAATTATATTTTATATTCCATTAAAAACTTTATATGATTAATCCAATTATGGTTTACGATCTAATTTTCTTTCTTTGCTTAAATATTATGGAGATATCTGATTCTTACAGTTTTCTATAATAATTATTTTATTATATACAAAGTTATTAAATTAATTTTAAAGAAAAGTCTCTTTCAATTTTCAATTATTATGATACTTAATCTATTGTAGGTAATATAGAATCAATAAATAGACAATTTTCTTTTAACAATTTCTTTAATTTCTTTACTTAAATTAAAATTTAATGTCCAATTAGACCAGTCATTATTTTAATTATTTATGTTGGTATGTTTAGATTCTATAAGTTTTCAAATTGATAATTTGATATTATAAACATATCATTACAATCGTTAATACAAGGTCTATCTTCTATCAACAATCTTTTAGGGTCTAAATAAAATGTTTTTAATTGTTTAGTTGGAAATTAACTTAAAAATTATGATCTTAAAGCAAATTCACTGATATATCTAAGAAATATAAATATTCTTTAATCCATCATTACTTTAGTTATCATAAAGTTCTTCGGTATTTTATTAGAATTCTTTAAAAATTTAGCTATTTCTTATTTATAAACTGATTACTCAATTTAAGTTCTAGGAGGATACCTTTTTAATAATTCATTTGATAAATTACAAAGTTTTGAATGAATTGATAAATGAGTCATCATCAAATAACTTAGATACAATGAAGTGAATAACACTAATAGTTAATTTAGGATGTGCCTTCATATTTTCAATTGATAATTATTCTATATTTAATCTAAATGTTGAATTTGCTTCTTTGATATCATAATTCAATAATCTAAGATTATTAATGATTAATTCTTAGTCTGTAGGATGATCTTTAAAATAATGCATTTTAAATTCGAATTTGAATAATTTATATATATATACTTATTTATGTATTATAAATAAACTTAAATTCATTCTTTTAACCATTTATTCTCCAAAGAAATTCTTTCTAATTGTTCCCTACTTTAATCCTATTAAATATTAAACATTTATCTGATTGCCCCTGTATCCATATCTATTTTATATACGAATCATTTCTTACACTATAACCTATTGGCTAAGGATGCACATGTAATTTTCATTAATTGATTATAGTGCAAATTATTGCAAGTTTAAATTAACTACTATTATTTATTTAAACTTAGTTTTTCAAGCATTTGATAATCCTTTTTATCTATAAAATTTTAGAATTTTGATTATTTGTTAAGTGGAGCCTTTATTTCTATTTCTTTTTCATGTTTATGATTCTCATAGAAAGTAAATATTATTTCTAAAATATCAAATGGAAAATCAATAATTATTTCTCCATTCTCTGATTTATCCAAAGCCTCTTTCAATATAGGAGATTCACAAATTATATTTTTATCTACCTGAATATATGATATTTAATACATATAAATTTTCATTAGCTAAAGTAGTAATTTTAATTTTGCTATCCATTTGATTATTTAATAAATAATATTAATTTAATTAATAATATTTAATGCATAATAAGATGAAATGAGTAAAAAATAAAAATAATTATCATTAATGCTATTATTAGTACTTATTCAATTTTTAATAATTTGCATTAATTGTATTGGCTTTCATTTCTTATAATCTAAGGATATCTCTTACTTTCTTTTGGACAGTTGGTTATTACCTTAATTTAGTTTATAATTTTTATGAACCCAAATATAATTAATCAAGCAAAGCTTCAGTTATGGATGCATTTGATAAATCTAATACATCATCTTCTTCCTTATCTATTTAATTAAATGAGAATATTCTATTATGTTTAACAACACCATTAAGTTTAGAATTAATTTGCTATTGTCTAAAGAACTTTTTTGTTTTAACACTGTTAGCTACTTTTGGATTAGCTAATTCATTAATTCTATTGATCAAATTGTATTCTTTTTATCGTTATTACTATTATGATTAAAGTGGATTTGACATTCTTTGCATAGGTTTATTAATATTCAATCCAAAAGATTTAGAACTCATACTTGAATTGTAAAAGGTACTTTAACTTTTTAAGGGTTTCCATCTTATGATTTTTCTTTATTTTATTTCTTCTTTATATTTCTCAAATAATTATTTTTTATTAAGGTAAGTTTATAATAATTGATGATATTATTTATCTGTTAATTTAGAAGTATTTGGAAGATTTTGATGGTAAATATATAAGTATTCATCTGATTAATTTTATAAATATCCTTAAAGAGTATAATAATAATGTTTAGGAGAAATGAAACAAGATTAATTTTATTTTTAATGTTTTTCTTTGATTATTGTCATAGTTCTTAATTAATGATTTTTTAGATCATCAATGATAATTGATTAATGAGCTTATTAATTTTATATTTTGAGTCCTAATTCAATCCTACTGATAATTTTAGATTAATAATTAGTATCTATCTATTTTCGTAATTGTATATTTTAACGAATCACCTCTATAATTAAGTTAACAATACTTCTGCTAATTTATGCCATCTTTATCTAGCTTTATCAATGGCTGCTTATTTTTTCAATTATAAAGTAAGATCTTGATGTCTATTTCTTATTTTAGTCACAACTTAGACCCCTTACTCTTAATGAGAAGGAAAACATTTAAATTTAACGAATTCTTTTTCATTTATATTTCCACTAAGGAAATTAAAGAATGAAGATCGAATTTTTGGATTTTTAGGAATTGAAAGTTATTCCAAAGGAGTATAATTTAATAATTCATCTGGAACTTTTAATTTTACATTCAATTTTTTTGTATCTGTTGGAGTTAAGCATAGTGGACTATCACAATTAGACATTTATGTTATAATTTTTATAATGAATTTTATTTTATATATTCCTTAGTTTTACTATTCTACATATTATTAAATTAAGGATTTTTGAACTTTATAGATACTGTGTTTTAGCGGGAAATAAATAAATCTACTTATTTTTTATAAATGAAATAAATCTCAGATATCAGTATCAACTCATAGATCAAATAAATCATTTAGGTCTTATTCAACAATATGTTTAAGTAGTTCATTTCTACTTTATGATTTCTTTGTTATTTTTGTCTAATATAATTATTATGATTTTACTTTTTTAGTTTTGAGAAATCTGTAATTAAGATTAATTTTTCTATTTAAGTGCAATACTTCAGTAGATTCCTGAGAATTATATTTGAACAATTAATTTTAAGTAATTAATTGTGTTTGAGTAGTTGGATTAGTATTTATTTATGGTTAATTCTAATCATTGTTATTTGGAATAGTGGCATTTGAATCTGAATCAATTGATTCCTAAATTCATAGAAATAGATGAGTTACGTTTTAATTGATGATTTTCATAAAAAATATTTGGTATTTTTATCATACATATTAACATTATAAAAAGATTTATAATTAAAAATTAATTATTAACAGCTAATTTTGAGTGAATAAAGTTCATATTAATTTATATTAATAATCTAAATAAAAAAATATATAGATGTAAGAATTAATGAAGATAGTTGAATTATAAGAATCTGAGTAAAGATTTGAGTTAATGGAAGTAAAAATAGTATGGTTGATGTGATTTTAATTAATTAAATGGAAATTCAACAGCCTAAGAAATTTGCTGTTTTATATGAACAGCAATAATTTATCAATAAAGATTAATATATGAAATTTTTAACTTCTTTTATTTAAAATTAACAGATATTTAATAATTATTCATATTTATAACAGCATATATATGAATATCATAAAAGATCTAAATCATTTTGAACAATATATTGAAGTTATCTAGTTCTTTCTAGCTCATATTTTCGTTCCTCTCTTTTTGCAACTTTAGATTTGTAAATTTCAGATTAATTTGGATGAGCTCTTGATCTATGCCCTCCAACTGCTTAATGTGATTTAAATGTTTTTTCACATTAAGGACATTAATATTGATCTCCATAGTTATCCTTTTTTTTTGATATGGTTTTGTGGTTTATTTAAAGAGAAATGTCATATTTAATTTTACCATCTAATTTGATGAAACCAAGAGTGGCTTAATGTTAAGGATTGAATATTTGGAATTTCTAAATTTTCTAATTAATGTTTTCATGTTAAGAGAATAGATGAGGTTAAGAAAAAGTTAATTGATCAATATCAAAATCATCTCGAAGATTAAAGTTATCATCTTTATATAATGTTAATTTGCTCATTATTTTTATTAATTAAGATATCAATAATATTATCTACCTTATAAAGTATTTATAATAAGATACAATTTATTAATAATGTATTATTCAATATAAGTTTTGATTTTAACAATTACTTATATTTAATTGATTAAGTATTAATGAATTTTGGGTACCAATTCTAAAATAGATAGCTAATTCTAGACATTCGGGCAATCTTAAGATTTGATAAGAATTCTAAAACACAGTACACCAACCTTAGAAGAATTATTAAAGAGAGATGATTTTTTGAACGACTTAAAAGCAGGAGCAATGCATGCATTTATAGATTAGTAATTGTGATCACTAATATCAATATCAGTATTCTTAAAAATAAGGACTTGATAGAAGAGATGATAACACTTCTGACATCAACCAATAACCAAACCAATTATCCTTTTATAATCAGCGAAATTTTTGAGCATTCAACACTAATAGAACATTTATTTGCTGGTAGATAACCAAAATTAGCAAGAATAGAGAAAAAAGTAAATTATATAATATAAGTAGACAACTCTTGAATAATATTTGTCAGCTAATTAAGATACAATGGATAATTAAGAAGAGGTAGAAGAAAGTTAAAGTTCAAGTAACATTATATTTATATTGTAGTTAAATTTCTACCTGATACTACTGATATACTTGGTGATTAAGATGCCTTTTACTTAATTTAAAAGTTATTCTCTTTTTTAAAATGTTCTAATGTAAATGAAACTTAAGTTGGATATTTTGGAAAAGCATTGAATATTATATCTAAGAATTATTGCATTGAAGTAATTATTATTATGATATTAATACAGTTTTGGAATTTCTCAAAGATTTGTGGATCTATAATTAGTGATATAATAAGTCATTTGAAATTTAAATAGATTTAAGAATTTTTTGCAAAAGTTATAATAATGGACCATCCATCTAAAAAGAACTTTAGTCATCATTATAAATAAAGAAAAGAATTAGTTCAAGGTCTTTTTGAATGTTGTTTAGAATGGGAAGACAGTTTAATTGTAATAATTAATGTTATTTTAATATTAGTTCCTAGAAAGTGTCTCTGAATTTCTGAATTGTATATTTCAATTTGGTAATCATTTGTATGAACATATTAATGAAATGTTGGATCTTATTATAAAACCTGCATTTTATTACGAAATTGCTGTAATTATACAATAGTTTATTCATAGTATAAATCAAAAGAACCTGCAGTTTATAAATTATATTACAATTCAATCTGTTTCTTAGGAATTCTAAATACATCATTACTTACATAATAAAATTTACAATAATATCAATAAACAGAGAATATTTTAAAATAAATCACATTATTAAATACTTAAATTCCATCCTTTTAATTAGCAATCTAATCAAATCTTGTTAATCTAGAACAATTTTAAAATAATTAATATGAAAAATATTAATATCTTTTTGGTAGTAATAACCTTATTTTGGTTAAATCCATTGATGTTATTATTAGATTCCATAATTAAGAATTGATAAATCTATTGTTTAATCATAAAATCTTAGATTATCTATTGGTATCTATTTATATTTATTCATTTTATAGCATTTAACATCCTTATTTCATTTGAACAATCAATTACATTATACAGTATATTCCATTTTTAACTATCTCATTATAGAAGATGTCCACAGAATCATCAATCAAACTTAAATT